ACGTGGATGACTACCATGCTCAGGAGGCGAGGGATAGAGGCGATGTAGAGGGTGAATTAGCTGTGCCCGAGGATAGATTGCCTGCTGCCGGCGAGAAGTACAACAAGAATCAGTATGTTGCATGGCACGGAGCGAGCAGTGTGTATCACTCGGGAGTGCCTTCAGTACCTCTGCCAGTCAGCAAGGCGGTTGAGAGCAAGAAGCGCAGGATAGTCGTTACGGGAGATAACTGGATGGTCCAGCATGTCCGTGAAGCCAGGTATGTCTCATCTCCTTTATTGTTATATTGTTTTTCTATTCTTCTTATATTTGCGTACTGACGAACTTCTATCAAGTCGCTTCAACTCGGAGCTGGCGAGTCTACGGCGAGAAAACGTCAATGGCGTGTATGACATCCACACCAACATGGTGATGTATCCAAGGACCATGCAGCCAACCCACGCACGCTGGGAGCAAGTCGAGCCGTCCGAAGATACCTTGTCTTCATCCTCTGCTTCTTCTTCTGCTGCTTCTACTGCTGCTTCTTCTATCTTTCCATCCGTCCGAGGCATCTTCAGCCGCAACTTCCGCATCCATGACATCTCCTACGAGTCCGCACCCAACTCGTCTCTCAACCTCGTCCCCGGGCCAGACGGCGACCACCACGACCTCGGCTCCAACGGGCTGATATCACTAGACCACGAAGTCAACGACGACGCTGACGCTGACTCTGAAGACATCAACTTCAAGATGACGGCGGAGGTGCTGGCCGAGCTGCCAGAGGACTGTCGACAAGCCTACCTCGAGGCTGCAGCCCGTGAGTGGCAGTGGAAGAACAAGTGGAAAGGCGAAAGAGTCGACGGCGCCAGAGCCAACCTCGCCATGAACTTCACCTGGACTCCCTGACCTTTCTCTATTTCTATCTATCCTTTCCTTTAACTATCTACGTCTTTTCTACAGGGTACGGAGTTGTCGGCGACTAGGGCCCGGTCCCCGAGGGTTTCAACCTAACTTACTCACAGCTATACATCATATTACTTATTTGTTTCTTCCTTTCTTTTTGTTTCCCTGTATGTGATGACAAAACGGCTCCTCCTTTCCCACTGACTTGACCGACCTGGACTCCCTCTTCCCCTCCTCGTCTTCCCATCCCTCCCCTTGCACTTCCGCCCATGCGCCTCTGGAGAATCTCTCGGCCTTGACTTTTTTCCCTTTTTGACTCTTTCCCCATGCAGGCGAAGAAGTCAAAAAAAGGGACTTGTCAAAAGACAAGAGGCAAAGATAGAGAGAGGCAAAGAAGATAAAAGATAAAGACAGGCCTGGTGACACCCTCTTCCTCTCTCTCTCGCTGTCTCTCTCTTATGACTGTCCCTATCTCGACTCCCCGCCTCCTCGACGTCATCCTACTTTCTCCGTACTTTTTTACTTCCAAACTGTACATCCCGAACTCTTTTTTTTTGACTTGCATGCATGCACCTCTCCTGCTGCTGCTGCTGCTGCTGCTGCTGGTCCCTCTCCTGCTGTCTCCCCCAGTCCCCTCCTGCTCCTCTATCCTATTCCTGCACGCCCTTTCCTCTGCATCCTTGCTCCTCTTCTTTCCTGCTCTCATCGCTAAGGGCGCTTCTCCTCCCTTTTTCTCCTGGAAGGCTGTCGATCCATGTACTCTAATAATGACTTCTGCTGCATCTTCATCATCGTATACTCTCTAAATATATCCATCTTGTCTACCTGTCCTTCTCTTCTGCTGCTGCTTCTATCGGCCGTCGTCCGGGTAACCCTAGCTGCTTAGTCATCTATAACTTTAAACTACCCGAAGAAGCGGAAGACGAAGAAGACGAAGAGTAAGAGAGCAAGTCACATAGCAAAAGTAAAGGCGAGAGTAAGTACCTAGAGAAGAGAGAAGATCACGAGTAGAGAGTAGCTGCCAGTACCAGTACCAGAGCAAAGAGTACCCGTCTCAGTCTCAGCAGCCACAGCAGTCGCAGCAGTCACAGGCAGCAGTCCACAGTCAATGACTGCACTGCCCTCTCTGTCCCATCGTCATGACTCTTCCCTTACCGTAACTTTACAAGCTGTCAACTAAGAGAGGAAAAAAGTCAGTTTTTCTTCCTCTTCTTCCTCTTTTTTCTCTCTTGCTCACCTGACGCGCTTCTTTTTTTCCTTTCCTCTTCGTCTTTTCTTTTTCTTTTTTCACTTTTTTCTCTTTTCCTTCTTTTTCCCCTGCTGACTAATAAATTACATTACAACCAAGGAGCTTGTACCAACTTTACAGCTTCTGCTGCTTCGACCTTTTTTCGGCCTTTTCCTTTCCTTCTTCCTTTTCTTCTGCTTCTTCTTCTTCTGCTTCTTCTTCCTCAACCTCCAACTTCACCTTCACCTTCACCTCCACCACCAACAACAACAACCACCAACCATCACCAACTCTCCCTTCCACCACCACCAGCGCTGTTGAAGCCTCCCACTCCTGCTCATAGTGTTCGTGTCTTGTTGTTCGTCTTTGGTCGGTGTTTTCGTCTTCTCTCCCTTTTTGCCGTTTCGTTTCGCTCCTCAGGCGACCGCCATCACCACCAACCACAACCACTGCCAAAACCACCACCACCACCACGAACCACCGCGACCATAGTCACCAACGAGCTTTTCACTAAGTTTCGTTCCTACCTTCGTCTTTCTCAGGTTCACTTAATACCTTGAAGCGTCTCGTTCTTCTTTATCTTTTTTCTTTTTTCTTCTCCTTCTTGTTCTAGTATATTATTTTTCTGAACCAACGACCGTTCGACTGCCACTCTTTTCCTACTCGTCCGGCTCATTTCAGCTGCCCACTGAACATCCGTCTTCCGTCACCTCATAGGCTGGAAACCTGCTGCTTCTCGTCTCCCCAAATGTCATACTAGAGGGTCGAGGGTCGACTGTTTCAACCCATCCAGTGGTCCTTGTTGGGGCAAGGCCCGTCCGGGGTCGGGAGAGAAGAGAGCGAGACCAGAGCAAGACATCCAAAAAAGAGACACTCCCATCCGAGACCGTCCTCCTCTTCGTCTTCCTCGTCTTCCTTCTTGTTGAGCTTGCTTGAACTGGACAGCACGTCCATTCAAGTCCACGGACAGAGATAAAAAAGGGTTTCTTTTCGACTGGCTATTTGATTCTAGCCAGTCAGAGGCAGCATCTCCCATCGTCGGACTGCTGCCTTGCTCGCGTCGACCGCTTCTTAGCCCATTATGCCGTCCTTCTTCGCGTCCGGGGGGCTAAACACCTTCCCGCCAACTCCGCCACACACAAACGTCGCTCCTCGCATCGAGACCGACCCTTCGTTCTACGCCAATGCCGGTGCTAGTGCTACCAACGGCGGACATGCCGGCTTTGCCTTTGGAAGGTACGGGGCCGGGGCTGAGTATGAAAAGTACCAGCTTACCTACCCCAACCCTTACCATGTCAGAGGTGATCTCAACCACAAGAACGCTTCTTCTGGAAAGCAGCAGCAGCAGCAGTTGATGGCCCAGCAGATGCTCTACAACAACTCTCTCGCTCACGGCCACGGTCACGGTCACAGCCTTGGTCTTGGTCTTGGCCATGGCCACCATGGACTCATGGGTATGCACGGAAGCAAGTTGGCTCCTATGGACAGTGCAGTGCCTCCTCAGTACCGCCGTCATGATCCCATGATCCATCAGGACCAGCATCATATCCAGCAGCATCTCCAGCATCAACACCAACAGCGAAAGCAGCAACACCAACAGCAACAGCAGCAACAGCAGCAGCAGCAGCAGCAGCAGGCAAAGGAACAAAAGACCACCGGCGGCGTGGCGGCTCATCTAGACTACGATATGGACCAGATGACCGACTTCGTGGCCGAGATGGCCCATGGAATGTATGCTCTCTACCAGTCTAAGCTAGTGCTTGCAGATATTGACATGCTCCGAAGCGTCCACCCAGGAACCACGCCTCCCTCGCAGTTCCGCAAATACGTCTCCCAGATCCTCTCGTCTACGCGTCTGCCTAGCTCGACCATCCTCCTCGGCCTCTACTACTTGGCCTCTCGCATGAGGATGCTCTCCTCCGCCGACGTCTACCCTTCTGCTGTTAAGACTTCGTCCTCTTCGTCGTCTACACCTGCTACCACCCAGGTCTACCGTATGCTCACCACCGCCCTCCTGCTAGGCAGCAAGTTTCTAGACGACAACACCTTCCAGAACCGCTCCTGGGCCGAAGTCAGCAGCATTCCCGTCGCAGACCTCAACTCCATGGAGCTCGAGTGGCTCTTCGGCTTCGACTGGAAGATTCACGAGCGTATTCACACCAAGAATGATGGATTCATGTCTTGGAAGGCTCACTGGGAGAGCTGGAGAGCCAAGGCTGATGTTCGTGTCGCCGCTGCTGCCGCGGCCGCTGCTTCATCCAACGAATCCCGCACAAAGCTCGCCCCCATTGACACGAGCATCATCCATCGTCGTCATCCACTCTACCACCACGGTAGCGGTCACCACAGCGCGCTTCCCAAGGCCATGCTTTCGCCCGACGGTCCAATTCCACCCCAGTACCAGCGCAGTGCTTGTCCCTGGCTCCCTGCCAGCACTGCCAGCACTGCTGCAACCACTCCTCTCGCGGCTTCTGACTACTCGCCACCTTCTGCTCCTCACACGGGACCTAGTACACCAGACTACTTCCATGGCTCCGGTTCAACTGCTGCCTGGCCGTACAACGCTCCACCGCCGTACTGCGCCACCTGGCTCCCTCCGCAGCAGCAGCAACAGCAGCAGACGTCTCGTTCAGGCCCTACTGCTCTTCCACTGCCGCTCCCTCGTTCCCAGCCACCGTCATACGTTCATACCCCAATGTATGCCAACGCCTTCAGCCCCATCAACAATAATGTCAACGGGAACGTCTGGACCGGCCATGGCCTGGATGCGGATGTCTCTATTGCGCAAAGAGCCACGACCTTTACTTCCCGTCTCCGCTTTCGGAATGCAGCCTGTTGCCGGATGATACCGTCGACGTCGCCTTTTTCTCTTCTAACATCAACCCCTAAAAATTCGTTACAACGCTTTTTTGACCCGTTTAGACTTTTTCGACTTTGACCCCAAAAAAATTCTTTCCGACGTAACGATTCACGTTGCCTATTCTTCGGCTTTTATCGACTTCTTTCGACCTTTTGATATTCTTCTTCAGCCTTACGTCTTTTTCTTCTCTCTCTCACTTCTTCTTTTTTCTACCTTTTACACTTTCTCACCTCGTTCTACGCGGATGGATGATTGATGATTTTTTTCTCTCGACCTGATTTGACATACATACATATACATACCATACCCCCTTGAACTGGACCTTTTGCCGTTATCTATCTTTTTTTGTTGCCACGCCTTGCTTGCCCTCTCGTTTACTTGTCATGTTATTCCCCATTTTGCAGCTGTTTTGTTCTTCTTTTTTCCTTGTCTCTCTTACTTGGGCATCGTTATTTGGAGGCGCTTCTCTCGCTATCTCCCTCATAGACATTTCCCGTTCCTTTCCTTTTGTCACGTCTCGTCTCGTTTCGTCTCGTCTCGTCTAGCACTGCGATTCCCGGCTTATTCGGCGTTTGTCCTTGTTTTTTTCCTGCAATATTCCCAAGCTTGCTTGTCTCGTCTTTGTCCCTTTTTTTTTACAGCTATAATTCATGTTCATGACTTTCGACACCATCACCATCACCGAAAAATTGTCACTCTTCGCGCCTCCCCCAAAAACATCCCTGTCAACCCTCGACCTGTTTCAAAATCTGTTCGTCTACTCGATTCCCCCTTGCTCACTTCACCTTGTCTGCCCTGCCCTGCCCTGGTTCGGTTCGGTTTCAGCAAGACTGGTCTTGAACTGGTTTTTTCTTATTCTCTTTCTCGATGATTTCCGGTTTCCTTTTACTTGCTTTCCCGTCTTTCGCCATCGAGTTATCTTCTTGACTTCCTCGAACAGCGAAAAACTCACAAAATGCGAACTACCCGGAACTCTTCTCACTCCGAAATACAAAAAACATCAGCCAAAAAAACCCACCAAGCAACTAAACAAAAAGCCATAGAATTTCGATCTCGCTCTCCTTCGTCTATATTACTCTTATCATCAACGGGTTACTTTTTTCCTTCTTAATTTTGGTTTTTGGTTGGCAGGCTTTCTTTTCCTCACTTTTAATATCTATCTCCATTTCGCTGATCTCTTCTTTCTTTTCTCATCTATCTCTATCTGCATGGTGATGGGGAAGGTGGGGGTTTTCGTTAATTAAAATGGCTTTTATTCTTATGTATCCATCTTGCGTTCTTGCGTCTTCGCTGTCAATTTGCTAAATGTCTCGAGTTCTCCTTCTCCTGCTTGTCAATACTCAATACCTCCTTCAGCCCCCCTACCTTGTCTCGCCATATCCCCTGCATCAGCTAATTTGCCTGTTTCCTACTCTTCTTCGTGTCATTCTATTCACAACCACCACCGTCATATACACTACCCGACTTTGAAAGAAAGAAAGCAAACAAAACTTATTAATCCACTACCTGCCCCTTTTTTCTCCAGTTTATTTTTTACCCATTTTTACCGTTACTCTTACGTTCAGTGGCCCCGGTTTTTTTGCCTTGCCTTGTTTTTTCGTTTTCTGTGTGTCTCGCTTGATTGCCTGAACTGAGCTGGTTTGAAAACAAAAAAGATGAATATACCACATACACTTATCTTACCTTACATTGATTTACTTATTTACTTACTTGATACCTGCACACTTGATTTCTTTTTGCCTCTGCTTCTCGGCTAATGAATGAATGACAGCGCGTTGTTTTTTACCTCAAAGTCCACTCAATCACATACATATGCTACTTCTAGCTACTAATCTCCGATGTCTCTCTCTTTACTTGACTTTCATTTCATCTGACATACCCCCCCTTGTCTCCTGCTCGGATAGAGATGGATGGATAGACGGATGCGCTCCCTAGTTCCGCTCAACCTTATCTCCTTTGTTGTTAATGCTTGATATCTCGAGATAAACTGGCTGTACTTAACGTCGTCTACTGGAATAAATAAAAAATAAAAGGAGGCTTTTAGACTGACTTACTCGCCTTGTATCTGACGTTTACTTTTGTTTTTCGCGTGGTTACTCCATACTTGGTAGCTATCACTCTTCGTACCCTCATTGGTGTTTGGCTGTTATTTTGGTACAGTAACTGGTACCTGGTCCATTTAGTACAAAGCTAGCAAGTGGCCCAGTTGTATTTTACATATACATTTAGCAGTTACCAACCAGTGCAAAAGAACGAGGAACAAGTTGAACAACGCTCTATTCTCTGTGTACCGTTCACATTCACCATCTACCTGTCTATGGATATACCCCCAGTACAACACAAGCAAGGAAACATACAAAAGGAAACAAGCTATGCCAGTAGATCATGATACCGCTGCCGACATTTCCGCCGCTATACCCGTACCCCAAATAGCCCACACGATGCTCCATCCATCCTTCATTCAATTCAACAGGCATGTTCCCTGGTATATTGTCGCTGGCCTGAACTCTCGATACGTTCGCTAGGCACAAGCGCTGGATGTTGCTGTTGGTGCTGCTCAACAAACTCGTATGCTGGAAGTTTCTCCCTTTGATACGCGGGTAGATCCTCGATGGCCATGATGCTGTCGTCGTCTTTAAGGAGGGCTTGCTTCGAAGCGTTCTTGGCCTTCAAGGCACGCTTCTTCTCTCGGTGATCTTGGATCTTCTCGGCGGTGATGTAGATTGCGGCACCGAGGGCGAGGACAAGAGCGGCCATTTTTGCGAGGTTTGAAGTAGTTTGTAGTTTGTAGTTTGTGGTAAAGTTGTTGATGTGAAAAGTGTTTGTTTGATAGGCTTTAAAAGGTTGGGTAACGAGTACTCTGTATATGTTTGGTGGATGTCTTTGGAGCTTTGGATGTGATGATGATGATGGGTAGGTCATGCATGGAAAAGAGAGATATACTTATACCCTTCGAATTGTTCAAAGATATCACGAACTTCGTCGACGTCAGTGGCAGTGCTGAGGATATCTACATGGTGAGAGCACTTTCATTCATATCTCGAAACACGCGATTAGTATTTCTTCACCGTATCTGCAATAGACGGTACGATGCCTGTTTATGGCTGAGATGTCGGGCTTTCGAGACGCTATGCCAGCCTCAGCCCCGTAGCTGTCATTCTCTAAGGTGTCTACCAGTAAGATGGGCTTCAAGCCATCAGTCGAATGTACGCCACCCGAAATACGCCCCCTGTCGCCCTGAATACGTCCCCTGCAAGCTGCTATACGAGATCTTGGCATCATGAATACGTTCCCGATCGAGGTTAAAGATATCAAATACTCTCGGAAGACTCAACCACAACACTGTCAACGGAGCTGAAGATACCCATGATGTCGACTCAGCTGCCGTATAGACGAAATACGGCGTTCTTGGTATTAAGATGCCATCCTCCAGGAGGCTGATGTCGAGGCAGTGTTGCTTCATCGCCAGTGTATATAAGAGACGACCTTCTTCTATACCAGAGCTATTACAATCATTCTCAGCATCATCTCCATCTTTCATCCATTTAACAGCTATACCCAAAGATTCAGTTTAACTTCTCTACTCCAAAAAACACTTACATCTTACGGCATGGCTGCTATTTTTGCTACGGTCGGCTTGCTGCTTACTCATGGCGTCACCTCTGCAGCTGTCCATTCCTCCACCCACAACCACGGGTATTGCAAAGAATTGGATATCCCAGTGTTCGCTACCTCGGAGGGAGCTGTTTATGATATACCCAGAGTGGACAGCAACATTGACGCTGTAGCTTGGGCCATCTATTCCGATACCTGGAGCACTCCACAAGGCGCGGCCAGAGTCATCAAAAACACTACCATCTCCGACACCTTCAAGATTCACGCCCAGTTATGTGTTCCCAAGGTTGCGGGGGGGAAGAGCGATATCCTGCACATTGCTACCCACGGAGTCCATTATGATTCCAGATACTGGGACCCAACCCTTGATCGAGAAAAGCAGTCATATGTCGAGGCTACGCTAAGAGCCGGGTATCCCATTCTCACCTACGACCGTTTGGGAGTTGGTAAATCAGACAAACCTGATGCATATGATGTTGTCCAGGCTCCCCTGGAACTCGAGATTCTCCGCCAGTTGACCCTCATGGCTCGCAACGGTACTCTGTTCGACTTCGCGGCAAAAACCATCCCTCCCAGTGCTGCATTCAACATGGCCGCAAAACCAGTGAAAAGAGTTGTCCATGTCGGTCACAGCTTCGGATCCTTCCTTACCTCTGCATTCATCGCCAAACACAGCTCTCTTTCTGATGGAGCCATCGTCACGGGCTATCTATTGAGCAAGTATCTCGGAAATGCAGGCATGGCATCTTTCAACGCCCAGTTTGCTCCCACAAGTTCTACCCCTTTCAACCGACCAAGTGGCTACGTCGTGTGTCAAAAGAGCGGTATCCAAACCATCTTCTTCGCTGGGGATACTAAGACCGCTTTCACCAGGGAAATGCTCGACTACGGCGATGCTATCAAGCAGCCTGTTCCGATCGGAGAGTTCGCATCCGCATACCGCATCATTGGACTGCCTGGCCCTAACTTCAAGGGGCCTATTCAATACATGCTGCCGGAGTTCGACTTTTACATTTGTGATGGTGATTGCAAGGGCATTGCGGATATGGAGGAGCTGCGGAAGACTTATCCTCAAGCTGCTGATATCGAGGTTGTCATCCACCCGAACACTGGACATGCTTTTACTCTGCACAACAATGCTACTGCTGGCTACCAGCTTACGTACGATTTCCTGGCCAAGAATGGACTGTAATCCATGTCTGCCAGCAGTAGCAGTGCCTTCAATAGAGCATTGTACAAACAAGCCGCGTAGGAACCCTGAGAAAACAGGCGTTCTTGGTCATGTAATAGAAGTAGTCCACACCTTTCCTATGATATGAATTAGATAACTAGGTATAGAGAAGTCAATACATTCTTCATTAGACAACCAGTGCAACTAGATCATTAGGTACGAGGTACAAAAGAGGGTATAATAAAGTAGATATAGAGTTAATCTCTTGAGGAAGGCAAGGATGGCACGGAGCAGCCGAGTTTCAGCCTCCAAACCTGATACTCTTGTAATGCAAAACTCGTTTCTTGAAAGCAAATTGACAAATAGTTACCGGATGCCAGGCTTTCCCTCATCCTTAGACAGGCCCAGCTCGTGAAATCCTGTAACTTTACCCAAGGTTGCCTCCCAACCGAACCGGAATTCCTGTCTGTTCGACCGCTTGGCTTCATCCACAATCCTGGATCTTCCCACGCGATATTCTTACTTCAACACGGAGTATTTCGCCTCTTCCTGGCTTCAAACTGGACCTAGAGCTGGCTGGCCATGTGGATTTCCCTTGCATATCTCAAGCTCGTGGCCTTCAGCCTTAGTATTTGGAATTCAATGAGGCTGAGCATGGATTAACCTCTACAGGACTCTCAGGTGCCAAGGCAGGCTTGGTGGCCCAATAATGATCAGCTCAACGACGGGAAGATGCATGTTTTTCGAGGATGCCTATATCAGCCTCACGGTTGACTGCGTTTATATACAGAGTACCTGTCGATTTTCCTAGAGGCTGGGATGATACGTTCATATACACTCTCTTTGTTGCAGTTGTGACACCCATAGCCAAAAAACGATAACTATCAAAATGCCAACAACCCCTGAAGACCCTGGCCAAAGGAAGACAAGGAGACGCCACCAGAAATCAAGAAACGGGTGTTTCGAGTGCAAACGGCGAAGGATAAAGGTAAGAGGCCTCTAGACACATATCGTCCGCAGGACAAGGAACTGACATTACCCTAGTGTGACGAGGAAAAGCCGGCCTGTGTACGGTGTGTCTCTGGGTTCTACAAATGTATCTACCCATCGACATTCACACCAGCCAAAAAGAACCAAAGAGATGAACTGTCCGTACCAAGCTCAGCCCAGGGCACGCTGTCCCCTTCACCAAGCGGTTCATCATATCTAGAGCGATCGCCGTCAATACGTTCAAGCACTGAAGCAAGCATCGTTCATGTCACGGATACCCCAGGCGAACTGTCTGACACTGACTTGTATCACCATTACCTGCAGCATACAAGCCGGACCTTGACATACAGCAAGCAAGACCAAAGTGCGCTGCAAATCGGCATACCAACATTGGCCCTGCAGAGCAAAACTGTTTTTCACTCCGTCCTAGCGGCGTCTGCAGCCTGTCTAGCGTGTGATATGATATCCAAGGCACCGTCTCCGGAGGCGAACGCAGTCAAACAGGTCCTAGTAACAGGTTACCGACATTATCACTCAGCAAGTGAACGAATGAGAGAATCAATGTCCTCGCTAGATACATTGAAACTGGAACCGCTGCTAGCAAGTGCTTTGATGCTGGTGCCTTTTGCTACTGCAAGCCAACAGATAAATCACTGGCTATCAGAAAAGGGGGGAGTAGAGGAACCTCAAAAGCCCCTTTCATCTACGCCGAGAGATATAATAGTTATTATGCGAGGCATAAGGGCTACCCTCCAAACCCTGGACTGTGATAGCTTGGGGCCAGGGATTGTACCGTCTCCAGTAACTGACCCAGGGATTGATGATAATTCTACACTTTCCGAGACCAATGCCAGGGCAGCAGCTCCAACTACACCATGCAGCCATACGATGGCTCCAATAATCGCATCTACCAGCGAAGAAGCGTATTCGAGACTGCAGGGACGTTTGGATTACGCATTTTATCACTGTAATGATACCAATGGTACAATAGCTGCCTGTGGTGCGGCCTTCGACATATTGAAGGACATCAGGAACAATGCCTTTTCCTCCCGCAACTCATCACAACCTTTGTCGTCTTCACTTTCACCACCTGTCGACACTTCTGAAGACCTTTTTGAACCCCAGGCTATGTCCCTATCACAAGTTGCCTCATGGCTCCGATCATTCGCAAACCGGTCTGTGGCTCCACAGCCAACAGAGCCATTGACAAGATGCTTCCTTACATTCCTTGTTCAGGTCCCTCAGACATATCTAGACCTTGTTCTTCCGCTCCTTGACAAGAGGCTTGAGAGCCCTGTTAGCACGGAGTCAGATGATAGTTTGACGGACTTGACGATGGAGCAGGCTCTTGCGCTGGACATCTATGCCCACTGGTCTGTCCTTATGTTTTTAGTAGAGGAGGAATCATGGTGGATAGGGAACTTACCGTTTGTGACACTTTCTGGAATGGTGAATAGATATGGCAATAATTTTGTGACTAGGCTATGGTCTGAAGAAGGAAGCTGGCAGTGGTGGCCAGGGGGCATGTTGAATATACTGCGAGAGGTTAAGCGGTACCGATAAACCTTGATCCAGGAGTGGACAATACATATTTCAATAGTTGATTCTGGTCACCTCTGTTTCCCTCCTGATGTATATTGTCAAAATAGTATCATATGATGCTACGATGGGGATATGGCGGGGCCTGAGCTCTGTTACAGATTTATGTTGCTCCCATTGCTAGGTTCCATAGCTAAATATATGTAAAAAGATCTATATAATAGGGTATATTTGTTAAATGTCCCAAAAAACTCCTAGGCTGGGAATGCGTTTTAGTATACGCTTCCCTGGACGCTCTGTTCTTCAAGCCTGGCTCGTTCATCTTCCAAATCCTCCTCGTCTTCGTTAGGGTAATCGTCGTCTCTATCAAAATTGCGTTCGTGGCTGTGCTTCAAACTGGACCCCTGGCGAACACCTCCATCGCCATTGTTGCTCGGGGCTGCAGAACCATCAAGTTTATCTGGTAATGGTGATACCTGGCCTGTTGATACACCACTATTTGAGCCTCCAGCATCTCGGCCGCCTAGACGAGGTATATCTATGGTGCGAGGTGGTTTACCGCGCCTGACCTCTTGGCTCAGTGAGACTGTGGACTTGATCTGTAAAACAGGCTCGTCCACTAACGCTGTGTCCCCCTCGTCATTTTCTCCCTCTTCATCTTCCTCGTCGTTCTGGTACCGGTCGTCTAGTTCCACTTCTTTCCCCATGCTGTTGGTCCTCTCAACTCCGGTCACTAGCCCGGTTGTTGAAGTACTCTGGTTCAGTGATCTCTTTGTTACTCGGTGCTTGTGACGAGCATGGTCACACCCGTCAGGACATCCACCCCATATCCTTCTCGGGCTTGTGGGGGACATTAATGGCATGTTATTAGCCTCACGCTCTCTTTCTCTTTCCTTTTTCAGCTCAGACCATGTCCGTAGCTTGTTCCGTAGTATGTATTTCCCGTTGTCCGGGTTCTTCTGCATAACCACAAACTCGCAGTGATTAATATTTCGGAGGTCTTCAAAGTATTCAACACTGAAGTGATACCACTTCATCAAGAAAATACGAGTCATGAGACCATGGGTAACGAGCACGCAGACACTGGCAAAGTCGTTATCTCCAAATAGCCGCCATAAGGACTCGTTGAAGCCGCTCACTCGATCATATGCATCCGCCGCTGACTCCCCGTTGGGAATACGGTAGAAGAAATGTCCATAGTCTGCACGCTCCTGCCACATGCGCTCCATCTCGTCAGAGCATGGTTGGAAATTGCCAAAGTCTTGTTCTCTCAGTCGTGGTTCTTCGTATACCTGGATGCCCTGGCGGGGAAACGGTGACGGCGAAGGATCATCGGAGGTGAGAGACTTGAGGATTCCTTCTGTGGTCTCTCTCGTCCGCTGGTATGGAGATGTGAAGAAGTGTATCTTGTCGTCAGGCCGTAGCATCTCACGCAGCCTGCGGCCGGCTTCGAGTGCCTGTCGATGGCCTTCGGGAGTAAGCTTGATGCGATGGTCAGGGATTGTCTGATGGATATCTCGATTTTTGTTCCCTTCTGACTGCCCATGCCGGATCAGGATGATTAACTGCAGTAGATAGAGGTGTCAGCTTCCTTTATTCTTTTTATATAGAGTAGATATATATTCTCCGTACTGACTCGTGGTTTGCCCATGGTGGTCCTCCTCCGAAGTGCCTACTAAAGTGTTAACAGAGATCCAGATATTTGATTAAAACTAGCTGGGAAGCTAAGAATCAAATATTTATAGCTATATCCAGGATAGCTTCGGCGGTCGTTCGTATGGATATATATGAAACAGGGTTGGACTTCCAGAGTTGAAACCGTGGAAAGCTCTCGGATTATTTATCTCGAGCTTCATATCAGAAACTCAATCGGCAAACCGAGCGTCACCCGCAAAGTAGGGCCAGATTTACAACAGCAAGTCACGGCCACTTGATTACTTGCCGGGGACCTTGCATTGAATCCGCATGAATGACATGCATCGATGGAATGAAGAACACCCTCTCCGGTCTCGATAATGGCAGAAGCACTCTACGAGCTGCTCGTTCCTCACTTTGATGCCGCTGATGGCTCTCCTCGACCACCTCCCCCCACGACAAGCGCGGCCACCGCGCAGTATCTCAACTACATACCAACGTTAGATACGGCCTCATTAACGTCAACGGAGCTTCAGTCGCTCTCGCAGACCTCTCATTCGAACCTCGTTTCCCTCCAGTCGCTTGCTAACAGATCCCACAAGTCCTTCATCACATCTGCGGATAACCACCGGTCACTGCAGACATCCCTCCCACGGCTGGCCACAGAGACACAGCGGCTACGAGATGCCATACCGGAGCTCGATGAGGAAGCTGTGCGCTTCTCCTCTACCTACAGTAAGACGGGAGACAGCCAGATACTAGAGAGGAGGAAGAAGGCTCTCCAGCTTGCCCGAAATGTGGACAGGCTGTCTGACATTCTAGAGCTACCGACTCTGCTTTCTACAGCAGTCTCAACTTCCTCTGGGGCTTCATCTGCTGCTGCCACTGCTGGGTCCGGTGGAACTTCGTCAAGCAACCTGTCGAGCACGTCCAATTACTCGGCTGCTCTGGACTTGTTTGCCCATATCAAGAGACTACAGACACTATACCCCGAGTCGCCGTTGGCTAAGGATATAGTAAACCAGGCAGAAGATGCCATGAAAGACATGACTACCAATTTGATCTCTGATCTCAGAGTCCAGAACATTAGACTGGCGCCTGCGATGAGGATCATTGGGTGGCTGCGGCGCATTGCCCCGGATCTTGAAGAACCCTCAAGTACTAAGTCTGCAAGCAGTGGCAGTGCCGGGGAGGGCGCCTTTGGTGCCTTGTTCCTAGTCTGTCGCCTGGCAAACCTTTTGAACATGCTAAGTGCCCTTGAGCCGCTGCGGGAACTGGCAGACCAAGAGACCCTCCGGAGACGACGACAAAATGCAATTAAGGGGGAGACCGGCGAGGAATCAAAGAATGCTTGGTCTGGCGGGCAGCAAACGGAGCGGTTTTTGAAGAAATATATTGAGATATACAGAGAGCAAAGCTTTGCTATTGTGTCTCTATATAAGAACATATTCGCACCTGCGTCTTCAGAGTCGGCCACCAAAGCACAAGACACGAGCGAGGAGCCATCTGAGGCATCGATGCTATCCCAGCTACCTCCAGCACTGGCCACATTCCCTATGCACCTGGCACAACTTCTGGCGGAGACGCTGGAGGAATACCTGCCGAATGTGAGAGACAAGAGCTCGAGAGAGAGCCTGCTCACCCAGGTACTCTACTGTGCGGCTAGTCTGGGGCGACTAGGGGGCGACTTTACCATGATGCTCTCTCTCTTGAGTACGACCGGGGGAACGGAGCACCACGAAGAAGACAGAACTGAAGACGAAGAAGGTGTGCCGGAGTGGGAAGAGGCCATCCGCAAGCACCGCATCCTCGCTGAGCGTCTGGACCTGTTGACGGCCAGTGGTGAAGCTGCAGCGGGCTCCGGAGCAAAGGGGTCTTATTCTTCCTCAAAGTGAAGGCCTCCTGCGGTCAATTATTGGAGAGAGAGACAGTGAGAGAGAGAGAGGAGTCTAGATATCTAGTTACCATATTTATTTACCCCGGATAGAAAGAATACCAACTACAGTGATGAGATCATGTCTACCGCTTCACTAGTTACATCAAGTCATCCAGGAGGACACTCTATCTACTACCAATATCATTATTATTATCACCATTATTATAAGTGTACAAAGCCCGAATATAGGCTTGCAGGCACGGCGTCTTCTCCAGGCCTGGTCGCATCTCGCATCAGCATCGCCGGCGCTTCGTCCCTTTTCTGCTGGTCATCCGTTTTCTTGTTTCACCAACTTCCGCATTCCTTTTTCCTCCCACCTTTTTCCCTTTCGCCTGCAAGAAGCAGCACAACAACGAGAGAGCCGCCGGTCGTGGGAAGGATAATAAACAATAAACGGGATCCCATTCATCAGGACTGACTCTCGCAGCGCGCCATTGTTGCTGGATTGTTTGCTATAAACTATAATAATGCTTTATTCATAAGGGCTGACCTTTCACAGCCTCGCCGGCCGCCCGGGTATTTCAACCACTGGGGGCATATCAGATCAAGAGCCTCTATCCTCTCGCTTCTTCTCTCGATTGCCAGTGTCAGGTCGTTATTCCAGCGTGTCCAGCCGGTTCAGCGTGTCCCAGCGGGTCGAGTTTTGTCGAATCTTTCAACCAACGAACGCCTTACAGCGGACGAACGCCATGGCTACCATTTCAGCACCACAAACACCGAACCTGAACGGAGGGCAGATGGTCGACCCTTCGCGGCCAGGCGACTATCCCATACTCCTGGGGGACAAGCTGGCGGGGAGGGACAATGCAAGAGACCGTCGGTTTGTGAATGTGACGTACAACTACAAAACCAAGGGCAGCACACCGCAACAGAAGACGACCATCTACTCAGCCGGGGCGCCAGACCGATACAAACTGACGATACAGGCCAAGGCAGGCAATGCTGAGCAGACAGACCTGACCTATGTCTACAGTGGTGGAGTCGACCCGGAATCGTCATCTTCTACGGCTTCAAAGTCGGAGAACAGCAATCTAGTGCTAATATTTGACCCAAAACGCAAGGCGTTCATCCTTGAACCGGTCTCGACCAGATTGAACTTCAATCTGAAATCGGCGCCGGGGAAGACGGATCGACAAGTTTCGGAGCAATACCCCCAATTGAGCACTTCTTTTTCAAACAATGACCAGTCTGCGGGGGATAAACAGGCGGAGAACGAGAGCGAAGAAGAGGATGTAGGACCAGCTGATGAAGAGAATCCATACGACTTCAGGCACTTTCTCCCCAAGAAGAAGACGGAGGAAAGCAGCAGCAGCAGCAAACAGAATGCCGTGGAATCCAACTCAACGCCCGGAACCCCAGATCCTCATCATGTCGTGAGCAGCAAATCCGCAGCACCCCGATCAGTGCCGGCAGCACCGTCAGCGGCAGCTCCTGCAGCGGCCAAACCAAAACCAAAGCCTAAGCCAAAACCTGCGCCAAAGAGCAAAGCCAACCCGCTCCGTCCTCCGAAGCAGCGGAATCCCAAGGCTGCGGCTACCGTGGCTGCTACCGCTACTAGCAGGGAGAGCGCGAATGCGAATGTGAATGCATCTAAGAAGGCCAAGGAGCCGGAGGAACCAGCTGCACCACCCGTTGCTATCGCACTCCCACCTAAGCCTGAGTTTGTTGAGGACACGATCATGCCGTCCGTGGAAACGCCAGATCTGGTTGGAGCGTACTCTGCCTCTGACGATGAACCCAAACGACTGGCCGGGTCACCTGGCAGCAACATCATCGTGGATGGAGATCTGATCATCGACCTGGGTTCACCTCCGCCACAACGACCACCATTCAAGATCGATCCTAGCCACTTTGCATCCAATAACACCTCTGCCAACGAGGCAGGCTACCGCAGCGATGACGAGGATGACGTAGAAGAACCTCGGCCATCGTTCTTTGGCAGACGACCTGTGCAAGAAGAGGAGGAAGAGGAGGAAGAGGAAGAAGAAGACGAAGATGAGACCATGGAAGATGCGCAGCCTGCCAATCACGCGGACGAAGACGAGGAGCCAGCAGACTTTGAAGACGATCTGGTGGCCGAGATGGAAGCAGCGCTTGAAGAGAGTGCCCGGGAAGAAGAAGCAAGGCTGGCGATGGAGCAGCAGCAGCAGCATCGACATCGATACGTCAACCATGTCGAGAGTGAAGACGAGAGTGAAGTCAGTGAAGAAGAGTGAATTTGCATGGCCCTATCTTTTGGCTTGAGTATGGAGTACTGTTGTTTTTTACATCCTAGCAAGCCATCATCATGCCCTTTTTTTATTGTTTTCGTTCTCTTTACTGTTTATGGCGGGACTACTGGGCAGGGACCATCTGTTATGATACCATGGGAATAATACTGGAGTTACTACGGGCATGTGTTGTATCTATTCTATCTGTTGTCTATTCTATTGACTTGTCTCTTCTATCAAATCGTCCCAATATGTTTAATTGAACCAACAGATAAGCGCCTTGTGTGTTGATCACATGACAACGATATCCGATCGTTGATCCGAAAATCTTGCAAGCGGAAGCAACGAAGCAGACGGTTTAATATACAACAACATCTACGAGCTTTCATCCTCCCTTTAATTACTCCCGCACCCTCAGGATTAGACTGTTTTGTTGATATTAGACTGCTCTTCGCTTCTGGATCCAGCGCTGGTCGCGACCTCCTTGCCTTAGAAGTGCAGTACCAGCTTACTCTTGCGCGCATCCCCCAATAATAATTTACCAGCCATCACTCCTACCACTCCACTACTTTACGACTCCAAATAGCTAATAATTGTTTACCTGCAAGACAAGCCGACGATAAGTGGGAGATAACGGCGCAAGCCAGGCTTCACCATGCCGGTGCCTTCGGTGGCAGTCTCTGCAAAGGAGGGAGCACCAGCGCCGGCACCAGCAACACAGACATCTACATCTACAGCACCAGCACCAGCAAAGCCGGTACCATCGCCATCCAACCCTGTCCTGGCTTCAAAAGAATCACAATGGCTGTTTACAGACTCGGATCTCCGATATACTCCCTCGCTGCTGGACGGCATGTCGATGGAGACGGAACACACACAACGAAGCAAAGGGGTGAACTTCATCACGCAGGTCGGGATACTGCTGAAGCTTCCGCAGCTCACCCTCTGCACGGCCAGCGTGTACATGCACCGGTTCTTCATGCGGTATAGCATGGTCGACCTGCCACAGAGACCCGGCCGACACCCGTATCCGATCGCGGCAACAGCACTGTTCCTGGCCACGAAGGTAGAAGAGAACTGCCGGAAGATGAAGGAGCTGATCGTGGCGTGCTGCCGGGTAGCGCTGAAGCAGCCGAACGTGATTGTGGACGAGCAGTCGAAGGAGTTTTGGAAATGGCGAGACACGATCTTGCATAACGAGGATCTACTGCTTGAAGCACTGTGTTTTGATCTACAGCTTGAACAGCCGTACCGGCTGCTGTATGATTTTATCTGTTTCTTCCAGGTGCAGGACGACAAGCGGCTGCGCAATTCTGCATGGGCGTTTGTGAATGATTCGACATTTACGGTGCTGTGTGTGCAGTTCAGCGCGCGCACGATAGCGGCGAGTGCGTTGTATGCGGCTGCGATGCACTGTGGTGCAGCATTCAAGGACGACGAGCTGGGACGGCCGTGGTGGGAGCAGATTGACGTTGATGTGAAAGAGGTGCGGCGGGCGTGTAACCGTATAGCGGAGATATACGATAACTACCCGCTGCCGAAGCCGGGACAGAAGTATGCTCCGGCGCCTACACCTGTGAATGGCGAAGAGGCTACGGATTCGACGAGACGGGTTTTTACGAGTAATGATGAGCGGCGAAGGGACAGTCAGGGCGGACAGACGAACGGGCGCAAGCACGAGCGAGACGAGGAACAAGAGCCGGGCGAGATTGTGTCGAACGGGACGACGACAACGACGACGACGACGGACTCGCCGAAACGACGGAGGCGGGACTCTGAGGAGTCAGCGTCGCGGCCACGATCAGCGGTGTCTGCATCGTCGCCTAATCCTACTGCTGCTGCGGCTACATCTACGGCTATCAACTCTACAGCCGGCGGTGCAGGTCGACAGGTCACCAACTCCTTTACGAATGCGGCGTCGAACCTAAACCTTTCCTCGGCTTCTGCTACGTCACAGCCGAAGCAAGAAGAAGAAGAAGAAGCAGAAGCAGAAGAAGAAAAGGAAGAAGGAGAAGCAGACGAAGGCGAGCTGGAAGAAGGCGAGGAGCTCGAGGACGGTGAACGCGAAGAAGGAGAAGCCGATCCCGAACCCGAGCCTGCATCCGCACCAGAGCCTGAGCCTGATCCTCGCAGCCAGAGCCAGAGCCATAGCCGTGTTCCCGCATCGTACCAGAAGCAGCGCATGGAACATCCACTGCCTCCGCCTCCTCCGCCGCCATCACAAGCAGCCCAGTCAATACCCAGCCGCGAGCGTTGAAAAGGGTTCTCTAAGCTGATGGACATGCTCGGGACATGCTCGCTCTCCGCCGCCACCCGCCACCGCCACCAAGGGAAAGGGGTGTAATAGTTAAGCTAAGTTATAACTTAGGAGACTTGATCTGATATGTGTCTGTCTATCAAGCACGCACGCCGGGGCCAACTTTGACGGACGGAAAGCAAAAGGTTACGACTGTGACGAAAGACAAGGACAGGCAAAAGTCTAGGGAAAGCTACTTACATACGTAACGGTAGCCACTAGTTAAGAATAATAATGATATCTACATCAGTACCTAGATGACTACCTAGATGAAGCCGGGAGTAGGAGGTAAAAAAAGGAAGCATAAGCATGTATACGACGGCAACTAGTTGGTTTACCTTGCTAACTACGAGTGCAGACGGGTACTTGATATGACTAGCGAGGGATGTGCAAATAGTCTGCTTTTCCTCCTGCATGAGAATGGGCGACGAGATGGTAAGTACATGTATATTTTCTTTTCTTTTCTTATTCTTTTCTTTTCATGGGATATGGTATGTATGGTCAATCTAGTTATAGTGCAGATATAGTCATAGCAGCAAGAGTAGGACAAACAGAGTTAAAGGGGGAAGACGGTACTTTTTTTTCCTTTTCAACGAAGCGGCGCAGCGCAGCGCAGTCGAGATGAAACGGACAAGACGAAGCGAGACGAGACAAACTGAAAGAGAAAGATAAAGAGAAAAGAGGCAGAGGTAGAGAGAAGCGGAGTAGGTTCTTTCTTTCTTTTTTGTTTCGTTCTGCGTTGCTTTGCGTTGCTTTGCTTTGCTTTGATATGCGGCCAGGCATGCGGCAGAGCAGAGCGAGCAGAGCAGAGCAGGCTTGTTGCGTAGATATAGTAAGACAGACAGAGACATGCTGGACATCAATCAGATAAAGATAAAACACCGAACCCGAACCCGAACCCGAACCGAATTCGCTGGAGAGGAGAAAGAGAAGAGGAAAAGAAAAGGAGAACAGAAGAAGCGCCGTGACACCGTGATAAAGTCGTAACGAGTGTAGAGATGAGATGAGATGGTAAGACATAGGAAATAAGGAAATAGATAGAGAAAAGAAATGAGACGAACAAGCAGATAGGAAGAGATGCGCCCTTCGTGGATATGGTGGAAGGGGGAGAGTTGGGGTTAGTAGACTCGTACCGTACGCCGTGCAGTATTAGATAGATAGTACATGGAAGAGGCAAGAAAAAAAGGAGGAAAAGGAGAAAAGGGGGAGGGAGTATATATACAGGGGGAGTAAAGTACAGTTAAAAGATGTATATGGATATCAAGGGGAGAGTAGAAGAGAAGAGAGTAGAGAAGAGTAGAGGTAGAAGAGGCGAGGTTAGATGTCTGCGAAGATGGCATCGAGTTCGTCGACGTCTACTGTCTCTGGACTGCGAAAGTCAGCCCACGAGTCCAGCGGAGAGTCAAAGGAGAAGCTAAAGGCGCAGTCGAGGGAGAGCTGGCGGTGCTTGCGAGGGTCGGCGAGGTCGACGTCTAGCGGGAATGACATGTCGTAGGTTCTCTTGTGGGCGCGCAGGCGAGCAGCAGTACCGCCGAGCAGCTTGACGTCTTCATCCGAGTCGCAGTCCGAGGTGGCGGTGGTGAGGGGAGGAAAAGGACGAGGATCCTCGATGCGACGGAGGAGACGGAGAGTGCTTGTAGAGCATTGTCGGGAGCTTCGGAAGTGGGTGATTCAGTAGCAGCAGAAGCAGCAGAGTGGAAGTAAGAGTGGTGGGAATTGTCGATGACTGCTAAAGTAGTCTTCTTGTACTCGCTGTCAGAGTGCAGGCTGCCGTTGAGGTAGGAGGGGAGAAGGCACCCATGTCCATGTCGGTGTCGAGGTCGAGGGAGGCACGCCAAGGGGCGAGTCGAGCAGGAGGCCGCGTAACTGGCCTGCCTGGCCGTCGTCTCCCGTCGTGCGCTCTCTGACCATGCTGGCCGTGAGGGTGAACTCTCGCTCGTCACCTTCGAGGGGGGGCGAGGCAGCACGGTGGTTGTGGGAGATGCGGTGGCCGTGGGAGTGGGAGTGCTGCTGCTGGCGCAGGGGCAGGGACGAGGCAAAGGAGTCGGTGGCCACCATCATGTCCAGGCTGTAATCCAGGTCGACCTCGGGGCTCAGGCTCATCCTGGACCTGTCATCTTCTCTGTCGTCATCGCGATCGTCATCATCTTCACTCTGGTTGTCAGCACCGCCGTCGAGGTCGGGCAGGGAGAGCGAGGGACACGGGGTGACCTCCTTCTCTACCGAGGGCGAGGGCGCCGGCGAGAGGATGTCGCTTGACGAGCTGGGCAGCGGCTGCCGGGGCGAGTTGGTGAGGTAGAAGAAGACCTTGCGCGGGTGGACGGGGATGAGCTCTTTGGCGATGGGACACGGCGCAAGGGCGGTCCACGGCCGCTTCAGGTAGAGCGACAGCCTCGACGAGATCAACGCCGCCGCATTCGCAGAGCTACTCATGTTAGTATATAAAAGAAGTAATAGTAGAGGTAAAGAAGTAATAGAAGAAGGACCTACTTGGCGATGGAGCTGGTGGTGGTGGAGAGGACCTGGGCGAGCTCCTTGATGAGATGGGGCCTGTTGCCTGTCTTCTCGAGCTGCTGGATGACCGCGACGACGATGTCATCCGCGATGCCGTCTGTGTCTATCTTGACCGTTGTAGTAGTCGTAGCTGTCGTAGCTGTCTTCTGCGACGGCGAGGGAGGCGGCGTGTGTTGTAGGACGGCGTCTCTCTGCTGTCTCTCTGCGGCGACTGTCTCGTCCGCCTCATGCGACCTCTTCTGCTTCTTCAGTAAAGGCGACGACGGAGCTGCCATGCTGTTACTACTGCTGTTACTGCTGCTGCTGCTGCTGCTGCTGCTGTTACTGCTGGCTGAAGTAGAAGTAGAAGTGGTAGTAGAAGTGGTGCTGGAAGAGGCGCGGCGACCAGAGCAAGGGATGTGGATGCCCAGGGACGGCAACGAGAGCGACTTGCGACGAGTGTTGTATCCCATTGTGAAGAAGAGGAAGAGGAAGAGGAAACAGAAGAAGTAGAAAAAGAAGAAGTAAGAGTAGAAACAACTAAAGAGAAGACGGAGAAGGAGAAGAAGAAAAGAGGAAGAAGGAAGAAGACGAGGAAGAAGATCAAGCAAGAAGACGCAGAAGCAGAAGCAGAAGCAGAAGCAGGAGAAAGAAGAAAAAAAGCGGCGAGCAAAGAAAAAAGAAGCAAAAGAAAAGAAGAAAAAGTAAAAAAGAAAGAAGTAAAAAAGTTAAGGGAAAAAGAAAAGAGAGAGACTAAGCTTGAAAGGGAAAAGAGGCAGAAGAGAAGACGAAGAAGTAGAAGAGGAAGAAGACGATAAAAGAGTAGGAGAGTAAGAGAGTAAGGGATAAAAGAGTAAGTAAGGAAGAGGTGGTGGTAAGTAGAGTAAGAGTAAGAAGTGACTCTCTTTCTTTACTCTTCTTCTTCTTCTTCTTTACTCTTCTTCTTCTTTACTCTTCTTACTACTACTGCCTTCTGCTTCTACTACTTCTTTTCTTCTCTTATCGTCGTCTTATCTACTTCTGCTTACTCAGCGATAAACACTCCCGTCTCCCCGTCCAACGCTTTTTAGTCTCTGCAAGTTTCTTCTTCTTGTTAGTTCAAGAGTAGGTAAAGAGTAAAGTAAGAAGAGCTGGTTGGCTGATCCCTGCAGGACAAGGGATGGACATGGGATGGGGACAAGGGGATGGGACGAGGGAGGTGGATGTGGATGTGGATGTTGGCTCTTAGCATGTATCATGATATAGGGCGACTCTCTTCTTTCTTTTTGGTGGCAGCAGCCAGCAGCCAGTAGGGGAGAGTCAGATAGTCAGACAAGGACAAGACAAGAGACTAGGGAGACTCGCTTGCCGGGCCCTGGTCCTGGGTCTTAGCAGTGATAAGTTAGTCTCTCGGGTCTTTTGGTCGTTTGGTCTTTGCTCGAGTCGTTGGTTGCCTCTCAGGGGTCAGGGTCAAGGCCGGGGCAGGGCAGGGCAGGTCGGGCCTCATGCACTCCAGGTCACTTTCGAGTAGTCAAGTCGGAGCAGCAGTGGCAGTAGCAGTAGCAGCAGTTGGTGGTGGCAAGATGGACGGAGAGAGAGATCAGATAGACATGTCTCCTGCATGGGGACAAGACTTTACTCCTGCGTCAAGCCTCTGCTACTGTGATACTTCTGATACCTGCGATACTTCTGATACTTCTGCTGGCTTCAGGGTAAACTCCCAGGTCGTCCCTAGGTGGTAGCGCCTTGCCTCGACCACCTCCAGCCCGCTCTGCCTCACGATCTCGCCGATGTCCCGGTTCCACCAGCAGCCGTGGCGGTCGGCGTGGGCAGCCGCCAGACCGTCCAGCAGCCCGTTGAGCCAGCCGTAGTGGCCGCGTCCATGCTCCAGCAGCAGGATCCTCCCTCCTCCTCCTCCTCCTTCTTCTGGTCCTTTGGTAAGTCGACCCAGATGCTGCAGCAGCTTCACCGGCTCAGGGTGCGAACACAGGCCCATCGTCTGCACCACCGTGTCGAACTTCTGCCTTTCCCCTTTACTTCCTTTACTGCCAGGCGGGGAGATATCTGACATCGCGTCCTGGGCGAGAAAGACCACTTCAGCCTTGCCCTTCTCCCTGTTGCTCCCCACGGCATCATACTTCCACCGCGCAATGTCCACCATCTCCGGCCACAGGTCGATAAAAGTCACGCTGCGACAGCCCAGCACTGCTGCCTTGCCGTCCTTGTCCACGCCCCGTCGCTCGCCCAGCAGGTAGTAAGGCAGGTTGCGGCCAGTGCCCACGCTCACCTCCAGCACGTCTCCCCCGGGCCTGGCGGACGAGGTCGCGTCGCTTCTTGCCCATGCGCATCATGCGCTCGGCCATGTCTACGTCGCTGTCGTACTGGCCGGCGGTCTTCTTGTACCGGTTCTGATACATCGCTGTTGACGGATAGATGGTGCTGAAGTCGCTGGCCTTGCGAAGGTCGTGTACAGTAGCTTGCGTAGCAGACAGAGTAAACATGCCCACTGCGCCACCGTCATCGCCACGGGGCGCACTCTCGTTTTCGACTTTGAAGAGACATTCTCTTTCTCCTTTACTTTCTCATTCACTGTCTTATTTGCTTGTCTGTAGTAGCCTATTCATTAGTGGATGTCGGTGTTAAAGTCGGTGTTAAAGAAGACAGTACGTACCGGCGCAGAGGAGAGGGCGACTTGGGAAGGGAGAGAGGCCGGCGAGCCTGCAGCAGCACCCGCGTCCGGCGCATCTTGTCCAGTCAGTCAATTGGCTATAGAAGAGGAAGAAGAGTAAAGAGTAAAGACGGAAAAAAGTAGAAAATGAAGACTTTGCCGTTATCGATAAGCCATCCTTACTTACTATCCTTGCCCGAGATGCATCTTGATCTTGACTCTAACTCTTTACTATCACCATCACCATCTACTACTACTTCTACTTCTACTCTTCTACTCTCTAGCTAAGAAGTAGGCTTATCCTCGCCTTTCCTCGCTTCACCGCTCGTCTGGCTGCTCTCGCTAGGCTCTCCTGCTTCCACACTATGGCCGCCCATCTCCACTCTCGGCACCTCGCCTGCCGCCGACTTCGCAGTGAATCATGAGCTCGACCGACAAAGACTCAACGCCTGAGACATCGAGACAAAGACTCCAGGACTTCAGGTCGAGTCAAGGCAAGAGAGTCGAGTCAAGAGAGATAGTCGAGGTCAGCTTTTGCCTGCTCTGCGCTCTACTGCTATTAACATGTCCCCAGACCTGCCTGACCACATCCTCATCGTAGGCGGCGGCGTCTTCGGCTGTACGTCTTTCCCTCTCTTCTCTCCATTTATTGTTGGGATACTCTCCGCTTCTTTATATATATCGACCTGCTAACGAGATAGTATCAACGGCTCTGGCTCTCAGTCGCCGTCACCAGGGACCCATCACCCTCCTCGAAGCTGCACCGACCATCCCCAACCCCTACGGCTCCTCCGTCGACTCCTCTCGCATCCTCCGCGCAGACTACGCCAACCCAGCATACGCCCGGCTCGCCCAGGCGGCCCTCACTCAATGGAGTTCTACCGCCTGGGGCCATGAAGGCAGATACAACCGCAACGGCCTCGTCCTGGTCGCTTCCTCCCCTACTTCCTCTCCTACTTCCACTCCTACTTCATCTGGCTGTGACAACACGTACGTGCGCAAGAGCTACGAGAACGTCAAGCGCCTGAACCCGGATGCCGTCGAGCAGCTGCCCACCGCCTCCGACGTTCGCCGCGTCGTACCAGGCTACGGTGTTGGTGCTCACGTTAGCGGAGGATACGTCAACTGGGACTCGGCCTGGGGTGACGCAGAGGCTGGCGTACGTTATGCAAAGCACCTTCTCGACCAGACCGGCAGAGTCACTTTTCTCTCGGGCCAGGTCGAACGCCTCATCATCGACCATGACCAGTCGTCTGCTGCTGCTGCCAACAATAACAAGGTAACTGGCGTCGAACTATCAGATGGCCAACGTATATCCGCCGATCTGGTCGTCTTAGCTACCGGTGCATGGACCGGGAAGTTAGTCGATCTGCGCGGCAGGGCAGAAGCCACCGGCCATTCGCTCGCCTACATCCGTCTCACAGATGACGAACAACGTCAGCTCAACGACATGCCCACCGTCCTCAACCTGTCGACCGGCATGTTCATCATCCCGCCGCGTAACAACGAGCTGAAGATCGGTAGGCATGCATATGGGTATCGCAATCCCATCCAAATCAACCACCCTACCACCACCTCTCCAATCATAGAAGTAAGCCTTCCTCTGCATGGGACACCAGTTCCTCTCGAAGGCCAACTAGCTGCTCGCGCCGCGTTAAGAGAAATGCTACCTGCCCTGGCCGATAGGCCGTTCACCAAGACACGCGTATGCTGGTACACAGACACGTACGTTCCCCCCCGTTTCCTGTTTGTTTCTCTCCATAACATCCCAAGTTCTTGTTCGTTTTAACCGTAACCTATAACCAGGCCCAAGGGAGACTTCATCATCTCCTACCACCCGGAGATTAAGTCCCTTTTCATCGCGACAGGGGGAAGCGGCCATGGATATAAATTCCTCCCTGTCCTCGGCGACAAGATCGTGGACGCCATGCAGGGAATCCTGGATCCGGACCTTGCTTGTCTGTGGGCCTGGGCTGAGAATCCAGTCACCACCCCTGCCGGTGGTCTCGGAGTAGTGTGGACTGAAGATGGTAGTCGGTCCGGTGTCAGGGGGATGGTGCTGGCTGACGAACTGGAGAAGAGCAGCATTAACGACGAGCCTCGCGACGACGCCTTTGCTGCAGGTGATGTGAAGGTGATGAGTAGGTTGTAGTTACAGCTACAGCTACAGATGCTTTACGACTGTGCTTTTCTGTTGTCCGACTTCGGCTGTGCTCTTGTGCTTCCGTGCTGGGTTTCCTTGCTGAGTATTACGAACGATCGGCAGGAACCGTTAATTTACTTCCATACTGCTATGCTATTATTCTAACGACGCGACTCCGTTTTATTTTACGCTTTAGGTCTGCTTTCTTTTGCTTCCTGCTTGCCTTTCTTCTTTTTTACCAGGTTCTGTCGTGACCGTGAAACAAAACATGCGTCAAACATTAATATACTTACTTCTATATTATCGTTCTTATTCCTTTTCATGTGATAATACGAGTCAGAAAGTAAGTTACTTCTATTGCATACTTGCTATTGTCGTTCATACAGGGTGCAAGCGACAAGATGCATGCATGGGCTGTCATACATACTCTTGAACTGAGTACACCTTACGGAGTATCTACGTAGACTTAAAGTTACTGTAATTACTGCAGATGAAGAAGACGATATAACTTTGAGACAATCTAAGATGATAACTTCATAGCAAAAAGCTGCTTGAGCCTCAGAAAGTAAAGAGAAACAGTGTAAAAGAGATAGTAAAAAAAGGAACTTACTCACTCCTCCTCGCGCTCGACTCCTTTCGTTTCGTTCTCTCTCCCATTTGCTCGCTCTCTCCCCATTACTCCCTGCTCCCCCTGGTCCTGATCCGTCTCCGTCTCCGTCTCCGTCCGCGTCCCCGTCTCCCCTAGCCCCTACCACCATAAACTTTTTTAAAAAAAGAAGCTGCAGTGCAAGATACAAACACACACGCGCAAGGCAAGTTAAAAGGGAGCTTGGAAAGGCTTGTGGATTGTGAATACGAGAGAACCCACGGAGATGTGGTGGTTTTCATTTTTTTTTAGTTTTGTTTTTTGATAGCCAGTTTTCTCTCCAGTGCCTGTTGTGCTGTTTTGCTTGGTTGCGCGCTACTGTGAAATGCAGTTGATGGAGTAATAAGATGTTTCACTTGTTCCCCCGCATGCAATCACTTTAGCTGTGACCCTCCAGATGGAAGATGGGGAGGAGCATAGTTGGTCAAATAAATAAGCGACCTAACGAGATAAGTGTGTTTGTGTAAAAAAAAAGAAAAAGGGAAGAGAGACATTGACCGGCACCGGCACCGCATGCACCCATTGGTAATAACCGTAGGCAAAAATTTGGAAAGAGTAAAAAAGGTAAGCACTCTCATCTCTAAGATAAGCGAGGTAGAAAAAAGGTGTATGTCGGTGTAAGTCATTTTTGTGTGTTAGTCGTTGCCCATTAGAGGCATTAGAAAAAGTTTGGGATTTGCGTTCTCTTTTTTTTTCAGGGGGATATCCGCAAGAAACAAACCGAGTGTCAGGTCGCTATAACGCCGTGTAAATGCAATAAGTTATAAAGGAAAAAAGAAAGGGAAATAACAAGGGCAAAGAGCCGCAGTTGTGGGTTTCGAGGTGGATGGGGGTTCGTCGTGCAATGCATCATATTGAATGAGCATCGTTATTCCGTGTCCACTGCATGCACCGTAACCATGACCTTTGCTTTTTGGGATAAACAAGGTATGAAACTGTTAATACAAGGGCAACATTGGTTGGGAGTCGCCGACATGGCTCAGACTTTTCTGAAATCTATCGTATACAGTTAGAAGATGGGGGTCACAACACCAAGATGATATAGAGTAAAACATACCAGTCAAGACGGGATATATCATCTCGAAGGCTTGATATATCTCTTCCCTAACCTTGGCGCCAGTAAGCACGATCTTACCACTGACGAAGATGAGCAGGACGATCTTCGGCTTCATCATACGATAGATCAAGCCGGGGAACAGCTCTGGTTCATAAGAGCTGAAGTTGTGATGTCTGCTGGCCAAGCCTTCGAGACGGATCGGGAACTTGATGTCGCACGAGCCGACGATGTTCTGGATCTTGAAGTCGGTGAACTTGGCATTGAACCCGAGCTTCTGGATGATACGTGCGTATTTCCGAGACGCGAGCTTCGAGTCGTCTTCCGACTTTGCGCCGGTCACGACCATCTTGCCGGATGCAAAGATCAGGGCGGTAGTCTTGGGTTCTCGGATACGCATGATCACGGCGGCAAAACGCTGTTCCCGTCAGTAAACCCTTGGTCTTGGTTCAAAGTATATTTTGTTTACTCGTGAAAGTAACAAGTGACTTCGCCAGCACCAACCTTTGGATTGTACTCCGCGTTTCTAGCGTGGAGGGCGATAGTCTTGAGATCCAATCGGCAATCAAGGTTGACGGTGGCAACGATGTTTCTTCAAACGATAATTCTTGCTTCAGCTTTCTGGTGGGCCAGAAGGGCAAAACGACGGGGGGATGGTGCAAAAGACAAGGACATCGAAAGATGCCATGACTTTTGTTGTTACACCACCACCCCGCAGATGCATTCAAAGAGCAGAAAATCATGACGTATTGGAAAAAAAATTATTACTCACTGCAGCGTTGGTACAATGCCACTCACGCCGGGGCCAGCTCCGGGAGTCGCAACAGGAGTCGCAGGTGTGCCACCTCCAGCGCCGCCACCAGAGACATGCTGAGGCTGGTTAGGCTGCTGGGCGCCGTTGGCGTCTTTTTCGGAGGAAGACGGCGGGGTCAGTTCGCCAGCACCACCTGGGAACGACAGCGAGGCCGGGGACGTGAACGCCTTAGCTTGCTGCGCGGTGGCAGGATGGGTCGTCAAGGAATCCATGTTTGCGGTATCCGTCGACGTTCGACTATCCAGCGATCTCAAAGCGCAGGGAGTCTGCTTTTGGTAGTGGTGGATGGTTGGATGTTTTGAGGTTGTTGTTGTTTTGGTAAGCAACAAGGAACGTCAGGTGACCAAGTTGATCTATTCAACCTAGGCAGCTGCAGCGGATTAGTCAGCAAGATGTCCCTTGAGGGGAGGCAGCACAACAAACAGCCAAACGCCAACAGCAAAACGCTAACAGAGTAGGACAGCGAGGTGCTTGCTTGTTGGTTGATGTTGATGTTGGTGCATGTGGAGGGACAATAAGGGGCTCTTGCGAGGATGTGTAAAAATGGGGCCTACCGTAAAATGAGAGACGAGGGTGATGGGAGATGAACAAATGAATGCCTCCCCCAGATAATGAAGACTACCACCCGAACTGGCGCAAGTCAGCGATGCCATGGTGAGAGAGAGATGATGACGGATAGATGTAGAAGAGAAGATGAAGCCCAAGGATAAACAGAGGCGAAGAAGAATGAAGAATGAAGAGCATCAACGTCAAATAAACTAACTACCTTTTTGGATACGCCAAAGAGTACGGGAAGAGTTTTAGTATTAGTAAGGTAAAGAAGAAGAAAAAAGTAAGCAGTAAAGTAAGGAGCGGTAGGAAGGGAAAGCCTCAACGCAGGAAGCGGAGGTCAAAAGAGAGCGAGAAAGGAGAGGAAGAGAGAGAGAGAGCGGAAGTCGATGAGATAAGCAGGCAGTGCCAAGAAGGAGCAACGACTGCTTGACGGCTTCTGGTTGGTTGGATGCTGTTTGGCTTTCTTCTTCCTTTTCTGTGGTTCTCTCAGTCCTTTTCGGGGGTTCAAGCAAGAAAGTGTCGCGAGCAGGAGAGGGAAAAGCGGGCAAAAAAGAGGAAGAGGCTGTCCCTTTTATACTTCTTGCCTGCCGCCCTCCGTGAGAGCCTCGGACCACGCACTCCCCCCGCTTAGAGCCACGCACGCCCCTTAAAAATTGCTTTTGAAGGCGTCATGGGTGGGGGCTTTTGCCTAAAGTGGACTAGCGGTTGGCCAATCACTGCCGCTAGCTTGGGCCTTGGCGCGGTGCTTCGCCTGCCTTGCCACCCCTTTTTTTCGCTTTTCTTGCTCTTTTTGCTTCTTCTGGAAGTTACTTGTGTGCTTCACTGACAAAGAAGAGGACAGCTAGGCAGAAGTGAAGGGAACGGGAGTGCTTAGTACCGCGGCTGCGAGCAGCAGGTATCTGCGACGGGTGGCAGTGGCAGTTAGAAGTGATAGGCAGCAGCGATGGAAGTGAAGAGAACAGCCAAATGGCAGCAGTGAAGGGACTGGCCGGGTTAAGAACCAGCCTAGGTGGTTGTCCGAGGGCAGGGCTCGCTTTGTGAGACCGCGGACGCGTAGAGGATGTAGAGACGCGCTGTGACTGTGACGGGCCAGTGCAGCCAGCGGAAGAAGTATCTACAGGTAGCGCTCCGTACTCTGTAGCGGTTGGCCACTTTTTCGCTGCTGGGAGAAGAAAGAAAAGTAAGTTACGTGGAAGCAAAAGCGAAAAAAGGGAGAAAAGGTTTGTTTGACCTTGATTATATAAGTGAAAATGAAACCTGAGCCGAGGATCAAGCGCTGGTCACGGGATCTTCCAGGGAAGGCAAGTTAAGCGATGACCATCACCTGACCGCTGACTGGCTGCTTCGGCTGGCCTCGGCTTAACTTCCCTGCCGAAAGTTCCGCCAGCAGCTTCTTTTCTTTTCTCTATTCGGAAGATTACCTCCTACGCCTTCAAAGACGGAGCATCGTGCCGACGACCGCCCTTTTTGTTTCCTTTGAACCACAATTGACGACGGTCGGCTTTGGATCCCTTGTGTTGGATAGGAACAAGTCAAACGGAGACTGTAACAGAGCAAGCACGGTAATGGCCTCCAGGTCTGCGGTGCGGCCGTTCGCCTTTGCGCGCAGGGAAGCTTGCTGCGCCTCCCCCGCATGGAGGAGGGCTACCCCGAACAGAGCTGCTGCTGCTGCTGCTGCTACTGCTGGGATATCACGATACTCGACGAGTGCGCCGGTGAGGAGGAGGGCGGTGCAAAGAGGCCTTGCAGGACAGAACACGGGGCTGACTGTGCTTTCGGGCCAGCAGCAGAGGAGCTTCTCGCACACTCCCGGCAGGAGGGAGGAGGAACAGGAGTCCCGGTTCCGGCCAGAGGACATCGAGAGGGAGTCGGACGAGGTAGATGTCTGCATCGTCGGTGGAGGTTAGTCAATTGATTTGACACGATGACAATTTTCGAACCTGAACATGAGTGGGAAGTCGCTAATGGATATCGGTAGGTCCCGCCGGTCTATGTGCTGCCATCCAGCTGAAGAAGCTGGCCAACGAAGCTGGAAATGAAGACTTCCGTGTCCTCCTGCTGGAGAAGGCCGGTGAGATTGGAGATCATATTGTCTCTGGAAACGTCCTACAGCCCACAGCCATCAACGAGCTGCTGCCGGACTGGCTGGCCGAGGGCAACCCGAACCGCTTCGAGCACACCACGCCAGTGACGACAGACAAGATGCGGTTCCTGACCGAGAAATACGCCATCCCCATCCCAGCTCCTCCGCAAATGAACAACCATGGAAACTACATCCTCTCACTCAGCCAGCTGTGCAAGTGGCTCGGGGAGCGCGCGGAGGAACTTGGGGTAGAGATATATCCCGGATTCGCCGCCAGTGAAGTACTCTACAATGCCGACGGATCCGTCAAGGGAGTAGCCACCAACGACGTAGGGATTGGCCGAAACGGTAAACCGAAGGAGTCTTTTGAGAGAGGGATGGAATTCCATGCTCGCGTGACTCTGCTCGGTGAGGGTTGCCACGGCTCCCTGACGAAGAAAGTGATGAAGAAATTCGACCTACGACGAGACTGCCAGCCACAGACCTACGGCATCGGTATCAAGGAGGTATGGGAGATTCAGCCAGAGAAGTTCCGCAAGGGCGAGGTCACGCACACAATGGGTTACCCGCTACCCAAGGACACCTACGGCGGCTCATTCATGTATCATTTCGGCGACAACATGGTCTCAGTGGGTCTGACCGTCGGATTGGACTACCCTAACCCCTGGCTATCACCCTACAACGAGTTCCAGAAACTAAAGCAGCACCCGCTCTTCCGCAGCGTGCTAGAAGGCGGCCAGTGCATCGCCTATGCCGGCCGAGCACTCATCGAGGGAGGCTTCCAGTCGATCCCCAAGTGCGCCTTTCCTGGCGGTGCCCTCATCGGCGACAGCGCCGGCTTCATGAACGTGCCTAAGGTCAAGGGAACACATACTTCCATGCTCTCGGGCATGCTCGCTGCAAAGGCCACATACTCTGCCCTATCTGGCAATGTGTCAGATGGCACCATCTTCCTGTACGAGTACGAAGATGCGTTGCGCTCCTCTTCCATCTGGTCTGAACTCAAGGAGGTGCGCAACATGCGCCCATCCTTCAACACTCCATTGGGAATCTACGGAGGTATCATGTACAGTGGTCTAGAAGCCTATATCCTCCGTGGCCGCGTTCCCTGGACCCTCAAACACCACGGCACAGATTCCGCGGCCACTCGACCTGCAAGCGAGTGTAAGAAGATCGAGTATCCAAAGCCAGACGGTGAAGTTACTTTCGATATCCTAACCAGCGTGAGCCGGACGGGCACCAACCACGAGGAAGACCAGCCTGTCCACCTCCAAGTTGCCGACTGGGAGAAGCACACGGCTGAAGCATGGCCGAAGTGGCAGGGAGTTGAGAACCGCTTCTGCCCTGCTGGCGTGTACGAATATATCGAGGACAAGGACAAGCCACATGGTGTGCGGTTCCAGATCAACGCACAAAAGTAAGTCGCACTTTTCTCCTTTCTTCTCACCTTTTCTTTTCCCTCTTAGTGAGGCTGATGTGAGGCGGTTGGCGTTTGACCTGTCTGCTAACCCACACTCTCCTTCTTCTAGCTGTATCCACTGTAAGACTTGCGATATCAAGGTGCCTACGCAGGATATCAATTGGCAGACCCCCCAGGGTGGTGAGGGTCCCAAGTACTCCATCACCTAGGCCAGGCTGGGTTGCACCCTTTCGTCCTTTTTTGTTATATATATCCGAAAAGAAATGGGATACCACGCATTCAATTTTCGTATATACCAGCCATGTATAGAATAGAGCTATCATAAACAAAGCAGCATTTCGGAAAGGGAGAATAAAAAAGCAAAATCCCGTCCTCGTCACCATTCCTGTCCTCTTCTCAAAGCCATCCAAACAGAAAACAAAGCAAGCACCAGTATCACGGCTTCAACCAGCTGGCAACCAACAGCTAATATATGCATGTTCTGTCTCGTTCTGTGTGCCTCTTGTGTTATTCTAATAGTCGGTGGAGCGGAAGTTGGTGGTCGAAGCTAGACCACGTGAATGGCTTGACGGCGCTCAGTCAGCTTTTTTTTTAATGTTTTTGCTTCTTTCCCTCCCTTCGTCCCCTCTCGCTTCGTCGTCTTCCTTTCTTCCTCGACAACAACAACAACAACAACAACAACAGCACACGAAACCACACAACAACATCAACAAGTCTCTCTTTACCCTCGCAGGAGACGTTGGCGTCCAATAAACAAGGCCGTTTTTCTGATCCTCTTTGCTCCTTGGGACCTTCACCATGAGCGAGGTATCCTCCACTCGTCTCTATCTCGGCAATCTGCCCCGTAATGGTACGCTGCTGGTCTTACTCCATCCCATCTCCGTCACCGTCTCCCCATCTTGTACTGGATAAAATGGTATTGGTATTGTCAGACTGTTCTCTCTCGCATATGGACTTGACGAGTCTTCTCGCGTCTGCCTCCAGGACTCGGAAGAGGAAGACCTGAGCCAGAGGAGGGGACAAGGGAATACCAGCGTATATAACAACGCCATGCCTACGAGGAATGGAAGAAAGAACACCCAGAGAGAAGACGGGCCATGCCATATACCATCCATACTGTTGAACGATATTGCTATTTCACCCCTCTTTGCCCTATCCTGGTTCAAATAGAGAGAAGAAAATGATGATGAATCTACTCCGGATCTTGGTGGCCTATACAGCTGACTCAAAGGGGCATCTTTTCTGCCTGGATTTTCTCCCTCCAGTCAATAAACAGGACATCGAAGAGCATTTCGGCTCTCACGGTACCGGAAAGATAACTGAGATCAAGCTGATGCAAGGCTTTGGCTTTATCGAATACGAGGATGCTATGGATGCAAAAGATGTCGTTCCTGGTGAGGGCACCTCCGTGGTCGCGTTTACTTTCCTGGATCCTTTTATTTTTTTTCCCTGTCTCTTTTTCTGTCTCTTGTTCATCTTCTATCCATGGAACGACGCCTTGCTAATACTGGATCCCTCTTCTGCTCGCTTCCTGCTTCAGCTTTCCGTACGTGATATATTACTCCTGCTTCTACTCCCGTGTGAAGAAAACAAATGAGAAATAAGCTCATCGGTTCCATACCATGACTTCATACCATAACCGAGAGTTGATTCCCATCTAATGCATTTTAGATGGCACCGACTTCAAGGGTGAACGGCTCACGGTGCAATTTGCACGTGGGCCACGGCGTAGAGAGCCATTCCCTGGGCCTCCCGAACGGTCTGCTGCTCCTCGTCCACGACGAACAATATACCGTATGCAGATAACTGGATTGCCTGAAACCAGTTGGCAGGTTAGCTAATGCCCGATCCCGCTTCTCCCCCCATGGACCCAGTGGAAATTCGAAATTTGCCATTTAAGTTCCTTTATTCCCCCATACACCAGTTTTAACCCGTGCTGTTTGTCAAGTTTGGGCTGGATTCGTCTCCTTCCCTCTTGGTTGATCTGTGACGCTTCCAATCTGGAGAGATGGCCAGGTCTGGCTTCAACCTACATGCTCAACTTGGATAAAAAGTGGGATATGGGAGAAATATACAGACACCTTCGTTTCCAGGACACTAGGACTCACGCATCATACTCTTTTTAGGATCTCAAGGATTTCGCCCGCCAGTCAGGACTTGACGTCGTCTACTCTGAAACCCGTGACCGTGACGGGAAAGGGTTCGCATTCTCCCCTAAAACCTCTCCAACCTCTAATCTTCTGCCTGAACCGACAACCTTCCTTCTTGCCTCGCGGAGAACTGACAAAGTATGACCTATATTTAAAGATTTGTTGAATTCGAAAATGGCAATGACCTCCGGACTGCCGTCGAGAAATTGGATGGCACCGATTTCAAAGGCTCCCGAGTGACCTGCACTGCGGACGTAGGAATACACCACCCTTCTTCCCGGATTTGATGACATGGATTTCACAGCTCAACTTTTCATTCTTTCTCTCTTCATATAGATCCAACCACCCATGGAGGACCGTGTGCCCAGGGATCCATACCGTTCCCGTTCTCCCCGTCGTGGCCCTCCGTACCCGCCGGTTGATGACTATGACAGACGAGGCCCACCCAGAGGCTACAGCCCTCGTGGTCATTACCGTGAGCGCTCCCCTCACGGACGCCGTGACTACTATGATCGTGACGGATACGGGCGCCGCTCGCCTCCTCGTGCGCGCGTAGATGACTACCCGCCCCCACGCCGCCCATACGATGATCCGTATGAAATGCGTGGCGGTGGTCCTCCTCGTCACTATGATGACCCGTACATGCCCCGTGGGGCTCCTTTTGGAGGTCGGCCACGCAGCCCTCCTCGAGGTGATTATGGAGGCTATGAACGCCGGGGCGGATACTGGTAGACTACTCTCTCCTTTCCCTCCAGTTTCAGCTTTGTTTTTGCGTTTCCCTATCCATCCTGCATCACTCTTTACAAAGAGACTCCTTGTTTTTTTGCATCAGAAAAGAAAGAGAAAAAGAGCGAGAGACTGTTTTACCCCGTCCTCCGTCCTATCCTGATGCTTATTACTCCTTTTTCAAAGAAAACAAAATCAAAAGAGAAAAGGGTAAGAATCTACCGCCGAGTGTGATGTTTACCACCAAATACCCGATGACAACGACGAGATTTCCTTCCAACAAAGATCAGCTTCAGCCATACGGCCAGCCAGCGAGCCAGTCAAACTATCAACCCAGCCAGAACCGGTCATATCCTCAATTGACTTTTAACGAAAAAATACCTTTTTAACTTTTAAGAAATTGCGACAAAAATTCCACCTGTTAGCTAGACGGATACCCCCTTCCAGATCATGCCATGCAAGCAAATTCAGCAGCTTTTTGGATCTCTCCTCGGTAACCGTTTTCTTTCCATATGTTCCGCCTTTTCTAATTCGTTTCCTTTGATTTTACCTCCAAGTATGATTTTCACAGCGTGAGATCTCGTAGCGTTGGGAAGATATCTGCTGTATGGAATAAGCTCAACCTTCTTCTCTTCTCCCAGCCCAATTGACCACCAGTCTGCATGAGTCAGTACCGCCATGATGATGATGATCAACTCCGACTTGATTTTCTCAGCCCTCTATTCCCCTAGCTGACGGCCATATGTTATTCTGTCTTCTTGCCCTTCCCTTTACTATCTGCCTATGTCAACGAAGTTTCCGAGATTTTGTTTTACGTGGTCTTGTAACGGCGAGGACCAATATGACGAACGTACTGTCTTTCTGAACCGGCCATGAAATGAGTTTTCTGATGAGCTTTTTTAATTTCTGAAAATGTCTTAACTATGAAATTCGGAGGCTTCGTGAGATAATTATTTTTATGTATTTAGAGTGCTTTGATAGTTACTTGACTCCATCGCCCAAGAGTTGTTGACCATGCTCAATTTTCTGTTTTCACATCTGTTAAATATATGAGTAGGCACTAGCTGCTGAGTAAATAACTCGGCTTCGACAACTACGCACGGTAAGTAGCCCAAGCCTCTATCAGCCTACATACAGCCATGGCATACAACAGCAATATACCAAGAACCATGGCCAAATCACGATGTGATTGCATACAGCTACGCGACGTCCAGCTTCCAGTCCCCGTATACCTGCAAACAGATGCCTGGAGACGGATCAACAAGCCTCAGCCAGCTACCTTCTCTGTTCGCATCTCCTACCCCGCCGGCCTTATCTCTCTCGCCGCAGAGAACGACACAGTCGGCCACACTCTCAACTATGGTACTCTATACAGATCAATCGAGTCCGCAATAATATCCAGCAACAAAGATGCTGTCCCTGACGAAAACAGAGATTATCCAACAGCACGCCCTTCTCATAGCAAGGACATAGTGGACATTGCCCTAACTATAAGCGACGCCGCATATAAAGTCCTCTGGTCCGAAATCGATTCTACAAAACGCGATAAGAATGATGCTATATTCAATGATAGCTGGTTTACGGAGAAGAAAGAGGAGATAACGGTGGACCTGCATCTTCCCAAGGCCATATTACGCGCCGAGCGGGGGTTGTTTTGTACACTTGTTACTCGCGAGAGACCGGCTAAAGAAGAGCGTTGTTCTATGGAATATGACTTGACTGTGAGAGTCGAGGGGATACGATGTGCTTGTATCATTGGGGTGAATCCTCATGAAAGAGAGGATAAACAGATAGTGGAATTGGCCTTGACTTTCCGAGAGAGTAGATCCGAGACGCGTATGATACCCAAGGAGTATCAGACCATGGTCTCCACGGTAGCTGAGGTGAGTTTTGTTCTCTGTTGTAGTCAACTTATACGTATGATGGTGCTGATATAACGCTGTTTCTTAGAGCATTGATAAAACTTCGTATGAAACTGTGGAAGCACTTGCTACGCATGCGGCGAAGATTGTGCTGGTGCAGTTCCAGCTCGATGAGGTGGCTGTTAGAGTCGAGAAACCCAGCGCCATGGCCTTTGTAGCGTTTTCTGGCCTCGAGATAACGCGCACTGCCAGCTTCTTCGGCGTCTCTCATCCACCTGCATAAGGGATCTTCGAACTCATCTTTTTCCCTTTTCGGCCATTTTTATATCAATATCATGTGACCTTTAACGGATTAAATATTAACCGGATTTTGCCCTCAAACTAACCAATCAGAGCGCGCCGATTGATTGCATGTGGCTGATTATCTAATCTGGTTTTTTGTTGATGCTTGGATCATTTTTCAACCTCAAAAAGCGAGAAAGCGGCGGATTATCAGGAAAGAAACAGAAACAAACGACGAATTGGATATTTTTACGTATACTGCAATTTATTGACCAACACTGCTACATCTATGGGCCTGTCAAGAAACTCGCTATATATCGATCCTATTGTACTTGGCTCCGGCCTAGTATTTGTTGCCGCTCCCGCTATCTCAGCCTTGGTTGATAACGTCTGCACAGCTCCAGTGACCCCTCGACAGCTCAGAATTCTCGGAACAGAGGTGGATAGGGTGGTTTGGCTACCGGTGAATGGTCCGTCCTGAATAAGGGCGGACGGTAAACTTGAAGATTAGCAAGCGGAACAATCAAGTACATTTGCGAAATACTTTGAAGATATAAAGGAGTTGGAGGGCCATTCACACGGCCCGGAGTCAAAAAGGTGAAGACCGCCGTTCTAATATATCATTTTGTCAGGGTAAATGCTAATGCTTGCTTTGTAGTGACTCTAATCACCGTTAGCCACCACCCACCCTCAGCAGGGTTTCTGCTGTTGCGGGGGAGGTCTATCTCATCGCCGTGTCAGTCAGGAATTGATTCTACAAAGAGCCCACGTTATTTCGGGCTACATGGCGAGACAGGTTCTGGAGAGCGATCTGCTATCTCTTCGTCGTGCGGAGAGCAATAGTTCTTTATCACGATGGCAACCTCAGGAGGAATTTGTCGTTTCTGACGTCTTTACGCCCCAAACACCCGAACCGGAACAGGCTGATGAAGCGGACCTTGGCCGGTCCTGGGCAACGGTGATCAGTGAGAGGCCAGGTACCACGAACAGTTTCCGCATGGTTCCAGGCGATGTGAGCCCTATGAGACCAAATCCTCAAAAAGGAGGCTTAAATCCCGTCAAGAAAAGAAAGAATAAAAAGAAGAAGCCCCTGAGGAATACAAGCGCTGTCTCTCGCGTTGTAGAGGCCCCCCAACCTGGCTCTGAGACCCCGCCGGCTTATTTCAAGGACGGTCGTTCATCCATCTCCCCACGGCTTCGTCCTGTCGGCGCGGTCAGAAATAATTTCGAATCTAGGCCTCCTTCATCGCATGGGATTAGTGCGCTTAGCATTCAGCTGGACGCACTTAATGTTGGATCTCCCCGCCCTTCAGGCTCTGAGGCTAGTAAGAAAGGGTCGGAAACGTCAAGCTGCGGCAGTGTAATCTCAGAAAGTGACCAGACTGAGATTCTGACTACATATGAAGTTCCTTTGGGAGATGATTTTGTCAGCCTTGACCTTAATAATGAAGCACCCAAACCCACGGATGACAATGAAAAGAAGGCTGTCCTTAACCGGAAGATGACGGCTTCTGATTTCGATTCGCTAACCTGCCTTGGGAAGGGAACATTTGGAACTGTCCTTCTCGTCAAGCAGAAGGCTAACGGGGCCTTGTACGCACAGAAGCAGTTTCGTAAGGCTTCCCTTACCGTGCATAAAAGACTGGTGGAACAGACCAAGACGGAAAGGGCTATATTAGAGAGTGTCAACCGACACCCTTTTGTCGTCAAGCTGTTCTATGCATTCCAGGACCATGAGAAGCTTTATTTAATCCTGGAATATGCGCAGGGCGGCGAATTATTCACTCATCTCGCAATGGAGCGTATGTTTTCTGAGGAAACAGCTTCTTTCTATATGGCAGAAATGGTGCTTGCGCTCGAACATTTGCATTGCAATATTGGTGTTATCTATCGCGACTTGAAACCCGAGAACTGTCTGCTGGACGCGGATGGCCATCTTCTCCTCACGGATTTTGGCTTAAGCAAGGTTGCTGTCGACGATGATGACCGGTGCAACTCTTCTCTCGGCACCATAGAGTACATGGCGCCGGAAGTAATCATGGGCAAGCCTTATGGCAAAGCTTGTGACTGGTGGTCTCTGGGAGCCTTGGGCTTCGACCTCCTCACGGGCTCGCCACCCTTCAAAGGCAATAATCATGCCAAAATCACAGAAAAGATCTTGAAACAGAAACTCGCACTTCCGTATTTCCTTGGACCCGATGCTAAGGACCTTCTCACCCGTCTACTCCGCAAGGAACCGCAGAAACGCTTGGGATATCATACATCCAAAGACATCCGCACTATCAAGTCTCATCGATTCTTTAGGAAAATCGACTGGAAGGCCTTGGAAAAGCGTGAATTGGAACCTCCAATCAAACCTGTGGTGACGGATCCAGCCCTGGCCGAGAACTTCTCCCATGATTTCACCTCATTGCCTCTTAGCCCTGTCGTAACGACGAAGTCCGGACCATTTGCGCGTGCTGGAGATGCGATGGATATTGATAGCGATGGAATCACTGATAGCGAAATGGGAGGTGTCCAGGCTTCTGAGGATCCTTTTGGTGGTTTCAGCTTTGTCGCGCCGAGTAGTCTCCTTGAAAGCGGTCTCGCTCTTGGGAACATGAAGTGGTAAATGGTTCAAATCCCGTCATGCGAGACGGAGTCAGCAAAGCTGATGCGCGTTTGCCGCTTGGGGTATCTTTTCTCTTTTTGAACAGATTTGTGGTAGCCCATAGTGCTGTTGTTTGCACCCTTTTGGGTATTGTTTTGTTATTTTCTTTTTTTTAGTTGAGATAGTTGTTAACCACCGATAAATTGATGCGTTGGACGGGAGAGAGCTTTTATATGGGCTTGTTAACACGCTTTGCTATTTATTACGTACGAGGCTTTTGATAACAAAGATGGAACCTTCTAGCAACATTACTAGGCCATATACACCGCAAGCCATATACACCGCAAGTGGGAAGCGGGTTGCGAAGCTAGGTCGAGAGATTAACATAATTGGTGGAATATTTATTTGTCTCTAATCTATTGATACAAGGGTATCTGCTTAATATACATATGCTAATGCCTCAAGGTGATATATTCTGGATGGTACGGGTTTAAGGCGTTGGTGTCTATTCAGATAACTTCTTATTAGGGGGTCGGTAATGGTGTTCCCGCCAAATTGGCTTGTTTTCGAGCAGGATATCCGTCAAGCTCTCTATTGATCTCTCGAGAATCAAGACCAAGGCGCTCATATATCCTAGCACACCAAGCTAGGATACGGTCAATGTTTTCGGCAGTGTATTTTTGCGAGGTCAATGGTTGAACAGCAGGGCTGGCAGAATTATGTCCAAGCTGACGGAGATATTTTTGCTCATCGAGTGCTGCGTTGGCAATGATTCGGATTGTCGTAAGGTCTGGTATAACCAAGGAAGTCTTTTTTGGATAGATGGATCTTGCATTGAAAGGGAGGCCGGCCCGTATTATTTGTTGCTTGCGGTCGCGAAATGTATCAAAGCTCAGCAATGGATCAATACAAACCCGATCCCATAGGCGTTTTCCAGCTAGCAAGCCCTGTGTATCGACAACGGCAGTGAGGAGCTGATTGAAGGCGTTAGGGGGAATGCGGTATTCAGGATCGTAAAGGCGATCCCACTGCAGTTGTACCTTGCGGCAAATTTCAGAGAGCCTGCCAGAAATAGTACAAAATACATAATGTAACCGATTCAACATAGCTTCAGAAATATGTTGACCCTTAGCATAACTGTAGTGTTGGTTAAATTTTCCATTCAAGAGATCAATCAGAAGATTGCATGCTAGATCTAGAGTATCCTTTTGGCTTTCAACAGACGTAGATCTAACCTTCGGTTGATTCGTGCTGGATAGCTGATACTCTAGCCGTATTATCACTGCTGCAAGGGACGTTATGTTCTCAATATCCCATTGTAAAAGCTTCGTGTCTTGAAGGTAATGGAGCAGCTCTATGGCGCCTTTGCAGTCACACTCCCCAATTCGCCAATTCAGCAAGGCAATCAGTGTTTGACGTTTAAGAGGGGGCTTAAGCTTCTTAATAGTCTTAGAATAGAGTTCACGGTTTTTCGTTGCAGTTGCAAGCCGGATCAGAGAGTCCGTAATAAGTGCGCCTTCACGGGTACGGGATGTTGAAATTTCCAAGGCTTTTGCACACGAATGCGTTACCCAATCCGCAAGCCGATACAATCGAGATGAAGTTAGAGTATCAAGAAGTAGAGCCCACGAGACTGGTGGCAGTTCAAGGTGTTCAGATTGAGCTTTATGTCGAGCCATTCGGGACCGGCTGGCAGCTGTTTGATGGACCCTAGGTGCCATGATTAGGTATTTTGAATCTAGAACAGACTCGCGCATTTCAAAAACTTTCGCCGGATCGACTTCTCCCAATAACCGCCCAAAGATATCAATTGTCCCCGAAGCACGACCACTGGAGGCATATATATTCAACATGTATTGGTACAACCCCAATACTACTAGAGAACTAGCTGGGCTGTACTCCTGGGGGCGAGCATTTTCATACCCAGGCCCTGAGGGGTTGGTCAAATGTTCTGCAGGATGGATATACGAGGCGTGGTTAAGCAGTAGCTCTAGTGATTGGGGATCGATTTCGGGCGCAACAGCTCCAGCCTCCAGGATTCGGACAATCATATGCGTGAGATCTTCCTGAGAGAGAGACAATTTGTTCCTACCCAGAAGTGCACGTAGAAGGCCTAACCGGGTCAAGACATATTTGAGCGAATCTCCTCGACCACTAGCCGTACCTGCATCGAATTTGAGAGAATTTATGAGTCCCTCCATGACGGAACTAACCACTTCTTTGGTGATTGTACGTTCCCCCATTCCAAGGAACGGACGATCTGATCGATAAGCAAAGGGTTCATCCGAAAATACTCCACACTCGGCCCAAGTGTCGTACCGGTCCATTTTTAAGGGATCAATTGGTCCTTTAGATCGATGTAGCGCGGCCCAGCTATGTATATTCCACGGTTTTGAACAACCACGGGAAGTGTGTAGTATCCACGCGGCCTCTGCCGTGTAGCCTCCTTCAACACAACACCAAAGAACAAATTCGAGCCATATTCCCAAGCCAAGCTGTTTTGAGTTGAATTTGAAAGACGGTACACTGGGTGTGGAATCCGACTCCGCCTTGTCAACACTATCCTCCAAGGCCGCTGCCTCCAAAGCCGTCTCGGATAATACGCTCATTATGGGGTATGAGAGTAGCTGGATCCCTGGAGGCCGATTTGGCAGGGTAGGGTCGTAGTTTGAGACGTATTTGTATACGTCAGAGGGTATCATGTCAAGATGATGAAGGCGGGCAACAACAAGGTAAAAGTGCGACATAGCTACATGACTCTCCGTTGCGGGTAAATCCGATGCCTCAAGGACAAAGGCACCTAGGCTCTGCCAAAGCTCACTCATTGTCTCGGCTCTTCTGTCCGACTTTCCCAGCTGGTTCTGAAGCATTGTCCCTTCAAGGTAGGCTTTGAATGATGAAACGTGTCTGCCATTGTTGTCAAGCTGGATGCCACTAAGTTCAGTGGTTTTCAGTTGATCGCCAGATAAACTGTCAAACGAGCCCAAACAACCCCAGGCTATATTCGAAGGTAACCCTTCTCCCCGAATAAGAGCCCGGTTTTCACTTGCGAAATCCAGGAGTTTATTAACTATTACATGAAAATCATGCCATCTCCCCAGTTTAAACCCAAGTATAGTAAGGAGGTCAAACCCTAGTTGTTCCCGGGCTTGATATAAAAGCTCCAAAATCGCTTCACAGTCTTCTTGCTCGCTCTTTTGCCCAGTCATAGAGCCCTTATCCAAATTCCGCCGGGGAATGTATTTTTCTAAACTTTTTATCCATTCGGACGGATCTTTTCGTAGCCCTGCGGGAGGGATAGGGTATGGTTTGCGGTTGGCCGAGTCCGATCGATGCGTATAGTTGCGCCGCGTACTGTGAAATGTAGAACGGAGTATTTCGGGTAGAAGCCGGTATGGCGTTAACGGTAGATGAAACGCATCTCTCCGGGCTTGGAAAAGGCTGTGGCCCAGGAGTATCCTTCGAGGAGCCAGGCAAATGCGCATGACACGGCTGGAGATTGATCATGGAGGACCTTGAGGTACTGATAAAATAGCGAGATCGGAGTTGCGTGGCGGTTGCATGTCTGGTCCAGGATATAATAGCTCAATGCCCACAGATTAGATGCCCTGCGAGCATACTGAAAAATAGGTTGACCAATTCTCTTGCGGCACTGAACAGCGTTGTACACAACTTGAGCTGCTTCAATGTTCTCTGAAGAGAAAAAACCATGCAATGGAAAAATATTGCTTAGTCAGCACATCGTCCAGTCAAAGCACAGGGGGCTACCAATGTGATTATTATATAGGCTAGATTCTTCAAATGCAAGACGATGCTCCTACTAGTATATACAGAGAACAGACGCTGATCCGTACTCCCACCGGGGGTTTCTGGCCATAGACCCAATTCCGACGACCCTGAAAAAAAATACCTGCGCCAAAAGAATGCTCCAAGCCAACATCAATCATAAAACAAACCACCGTGTCAGGGAACCCAGCTGTATTTATTCATCCTGGGGACGGTCTTCCTGGCCTCCCTCAGCGAGATCCTCCGCACCTAGCTCTTGTTCAACTTCATCTGCAACGAAGCTCTCATAATCTTCCAGCCCCTTTTGCACATGAACCTTAAACCTGATAACATCGTTCAACATACTTTCAATTCCAGTATGTAGCTCCTCGCGCAGTGCATTTGCGCGCAAAACAAGTTGTTCATGCTCAATATTGGTATTCATTTCCCTCTGCTCCATCAACTGAACGCTTTCGCTAAGGCTTGCACGCATTTTGGCGAGCTCCTTTTCCATCTTTTCAATTTGAGCGTCAGACGCTAGCTTCTGAGTCGATGTTATTTCTTTTGTCTTCTCGAATTCCTCTTCTGCGGCGCGGCGTCGATGTTCTAGAGCTTCCACCTCGCTCTTTTTCTCATCCATGGCCTCTTTAATGTTTTCAAGAAGATCTCGTCTGTTCATATCTTCATCCAGCGCAATCTTTCGTCGTTCGTTGATTTCTTTGCGTAGGGAAGTCAGATGATTTCTAACCACACCACGAAGATCTAGGTTAATGAGATTTGTTGGGTGATATCCCGTATTCGCATCAGCAAGTAACCTGTCGCCTTCTGAAGCAGCGTGGCTTTGAGACATCCCAAGTTGTTCATTGATATTAAGGAAGAGCTCAAACTCGATCCCTTTGGCGTTGGCTGTGGTGGAAGGAATAAGGCCCGCTTGGTAGGCTAGGGAATTGTATGACTTGGTAACTTGCTCCAACTCCTCCAGTTTCAAGTTGGCTTCCGATTCTTTCTCCATAACTTTTGCATGAGTCTCATCGAGCCTCACTAGGATATCCTCCACACTTTTCTGGAGCCTATCTCGCTCTGTACTCATGCGATCGATATCCTGGATTGTAATCCCTCGTTTATCAACGCTTGACTGCAGACTGATCCGGTCATCTTCGGTGGTTTGGAGCTCTAAGTCTATTTTCTCCAGTTCCTCCTCTAAGAATTTGATGCGGTTTTCGTACTTATCGATTTTCCCTTGAACGTTCCCATTGTAGTCTTCAAATTTTTTCTTGTCATCTTCCAAAATCTTGAAGTGTTTATCCAGCTTGGCAATGTCAGGAGCATTCTTTTCAAGTTCTTCAAGCTGATCTCGAAGTAAACGGTTCTCCTCCTCTAGTGCCTGAAGCTCTTGCACGTATTTCTCATTTGCCTTCTCGAATTCTGCTGCCATGGTTTCAACATGAGGGACGAGTCGCTGCTCTGCTACTTCGTCATCCTCGTCCTCACCACCTTGTAACCAGTCATGGTATGCGCCAGATAGGAAGCGGAAAATTATGCGATCACCAGTCACATCGACACCTGCCTCTGCGCAGGCATAGTCGTATTGATCTTGGTAATATCGATCTAGCATTTGAGCTAACTGCATCATCCAGTGCAACACACCCAAAAATGTGTACCAGTTCGTGCCTCCAACTGCAGCAATTTGTGATTTTGTAATATTCTTTTCATAGGGGTAGCGCAGTTGTTTTAAAATAGGTGGAACCTCAGTGTCGATATTCTTTTGAAACCGGTAGCTAGGGTCGATCCTCTTATACAACCACTGGAAGATGTAATTAAAGTCCTTCTGGGTCGGTGATTTCAGCGTATTCTGAGTTAAGGAATGTTTCATTTCCAGCTCAAAGTTGTTGCGCGTTAAATATTCCAAAATTTCCTGGCTAATGCGCGCCTGGAAGCCCCGGTCCCTCAAGGGCCGAGGATCTCGTGGCACGCCCGCGGGGATGGACCCCTGGACAAAAAATGATTGATGGGCAGCAGTAGGGCCCATTGACGGGCGCGATAGGACACTGCTCCGTCGTTGTAGTTGAGGTGGCGGGGGAGGTGCCATGGACATTGGCGCATAGCTTTGACGGCCAGCATTTGCGCTGTGGAGCACGTTATGGGACACAGAACGTCGAACGCTTGATAGGCCACCATCTATACCATAGTTTCCACTGCTTGTAGACTGTCGATGGAAAACAGGCTGCTGAGGCCGGCTTAGCGATGAGACAAGAGAGGAGGGCCGGCCATGTTGAGACGTAAAAGGCGGATTCTGTAGATTTGCAGCAGTACTAGTTCGCTTGAGCGCTGAGGATGGCTGGGGGATTGAGGTATAATTCTGAACGTTCCCCAGTGTCTACAGTATGCAAATTAGTTAGAAAGTCGTCCTTCAAAGGTCCATTGGTTGGTGTAAACTGGGGGTGTACCTCTCGCGGTCTTCGGACACTGAAAAGCCCAGTATCCTGCGCCATGACGATGCGACAAGGGCTCGTTGCTTTGTGCCAAGCAGTAGCTAGAGATGTAAGAGAGCGTCACGGAGTAGGAGGCAACAGCAACAGCAAGTATCGGACTTCTACAGTAGCTATCCGTTCAGCGCCTGTATCTCTTCGAATATCGTTGATAAACAATCGTTCAATCAACCTTTCTTATCTTCTTCTTTGGGAAAAGTAAACAAAGTGAACAGCCGCGGGAAGCCTTGGCTATACTATCCCGTATTGGGTATAGTCATGGCCTACGGAATATCAAAGGGCCGACTATCACGGGACCGCGGCTTCAACCTCGGCTCGACAGGGAGAAAGAAAGCTTGAAAAGAAAGAGCGACATCTCGAGATTCCGGGGGAGAGAGAGAGAGCAAACAAGAGGAAGACGAGAAGCACGCCGCTGCTGTCCCATCATATCTCCGTTCCGCAAGGTCTCTGCTTATACTGCCGCCATCCACCAGCTGAATAGAGAGAGATTCTGAACTAACTACTTTGGCGACATGGCTCGAGAGGAGCTGATAACGTCAGCGGTAAGTCGGTTACCGCATGTCCTGGTGCAAAGTACTCTCTGCTAATGACATCTGTTGCGCGTTAGGTTACTTGTACGTTATCCATCGTCTAGTCTGTTGATCGCCTACCTGCATGCTTTGTACTTATATGTCTACAGTCCTCCAGGATCCCTCCGTCTCGTCTGCGCCTCTAGAGAAGAAAGTGGCATTTCTGCAGTCCAAAAACCTAACACAGGAAGAGATCGATATAGCTCTAACTAGAAGCGGTTCTTCTAGTCCACCCACACCTGCTTCGGAGCAACAGAGTCGTGCAGTTGTTCCGTCGCCAGCTCCATACCGGGCTTCCCCAAACCAGGGCTATGGGTATGGACAAAGTGGTCAATGGGGTTATGCAGCCCCTCCGGAGTAAGCAACCAATCCTATGTGAAATTGCTTGTAGCTATTTGGCTAACAAGGGCCCGTATGTTAGGCTCCCGAGGCGTGATTGGAGAGACTGGTTTATCATGGCAACGGTAATGGGCGGTGTTGGCTATGGTCTCTACTTTGTTGCAAAGGTACGTAAATCAACTGAACTAGTCTTCAACTGTTAATATTAATTGTCATTTTAGCGTTATATTTCACCTTTAATCGCGCCTCCTACGTCACCCCAGCTTCAACAAGATAAAGAAAATGTAGACGAACAATTTTCTCGTGCATTTTCTTTACTAGACCAGCTTTCTGCGGACACTGCTGCTCTCAAAGCCGCCGAAGAAGCCCGAACGACACGACTTGATACTGCGCTCCGTGATGTTGAGGAAGTTGTTCAGGAACTCAAAGTTTCCTCACGGAGACGTGACGATGATACTAGGCGCATTAGCGAAGAAGTAAGGAGTTTGAAAGATGGGATTCCAAAGGCTATTGAAGGAGCCCGTGAAGGGAACGAGAAACGGCTGAGGGAGCTCAACTCGGAACTAAGGAGCCTGAAGGTTCTCCTGACAAACAGACTGGGCTCTAGTGCACCGACCCTTACACCTAATAATACCGCTACCACGAGTACTACCACCCGACCAGAGGTAAACGGAGCTGCTTCTGGGCCTCAACAAACCTCTTCTCCTGCTATACCAATCCCTGCAGCTGCCTCTATACCAGCGTCAACTCCAGCCCCACGGGAGCGTTCCGGCAGCCCGTTTTCCCAGCTTGGAAAACCAGCAAGCATTCCAGCTTGGCAGATGGCTGCTGCTAACAAAGCTAAGAGCGCTGCAGCTTCTCCTTCAGTTGAAGACGCAAAGGAAGAGACTGAAAAGGCCGAAAGTAACCAGCAGTCTGCGTCTACCGCCAGTTAAAAAATAGTCACTTCTAAAACCTACTTGCTCGCCAGCACTACCTCAATCATCTCCTTTTGACTCGCCGGTTATTTAGTGAATATTGCCTTTTTTTTCTTTCATCCTTTCTTTGGGAATGCTGTAGGAATGGTTGCAGTCTTTGCTTTTGCAAGATAGGAGAATGCTTAATGGGATATATATACGTTGGCACCACGATTTGTTCTCTTATGTACTTTTACTCCTTTCCAAACAAGCTCATATCATGTTCATCCAGTGTAATTTACGCCTCTCAAGATCTAAGAGAAAAGTATTCCGTACTCCTAGACTTCACCAAATTCTGTTATGAATCCTTGGGTCGTATGGTGATGGAACATGGACCATGAGACCATCAAACAGAAAAGGCCTATCTGCCTTACATCCTCTGGGAACGTAAGCAAGACGATGTGAGCCGTATAAAAAAGGATAACTAATCTAACATAGCGAGGGTTACCAAATAAGTGAGCTCTTAGCAAACATAATCTTAAACTACACTATCTATGATAGACTCTTGCTGCGTGGGAGGACCTGATTAATACTATTACTACACGTCTTCCCGAGTATTCTTCTAAACAAGATACCCAGACTGAATCGGAAACATTATCTTCAGAGGACAGAATACCGCCCTCTATATAGGGGCTCACTCGTGGATTCCTACCGCGTGCATCAAAACCTCCTTTTAAATATATCGCTCTTGGGCTATCTGTCTACAATTATAGTGCCCCACTACCACCAATTCCTATGAAAAGGGGGGATATGATATATGCCACACCCTACAAGGAGATTTACGGTGTAGTGTATCACAATTCTACCATTCTATTCCCCTTCGAGGGGTCAGTGAGAGAGGAGGTTGCTGGGCTCTGGATTCTCCCTGAAGAGGACTGGGCAGATTCCATCCGTCTGGTTCTTCCATATGAGCTGGTATGACGTTGATGCATGCTTCAATTTTCCGCCACACGTAGAAATTGACCGCTAGACGGTCGAGCCCTACAATACTTGGTCCTCCTTATTCCACCTACCCCGTTTTACTCTGTATTCAATGATTGTAACGAGAAGATGCCGTATCAATGCCACATGGCAGACTAACTAGAAGTAGTTTAGCTCTTCCCCGGCCTTAAAGTCTGAAGAAGCTTAAATTCATCATTATCAAGATGCATCTCGCTTTAATTATAACGTCTTGAACCAGAGAAAAAGAGAACGCTCCATAAGGTACGACTACAGTTGGAGATGTGATTTTCATCATTATTAGTATTATTACCGAATATCCAGAACGCTTGAATGTCGCATCACGAAACGTCCATTTCCCCTCACGACCGCCATCGTCATCGCCGTCGGCACCATGACCACGATCGCAGCAACCACCCAGTTTCCATAAGGGCCGACTCTCGATCACGTTCACCCACCAGAGAGGGTAGCTGCGATGGCCGACATAGATATCGCCGCAGCAGGCAAGAGGACGCCAGATCGCACCGACAGCAACAGTCATCTGAAGGCCCAGCAGCCGTGCTACCACTAGGTGCTGTACCGCTTTCAAAGCGCGATTTATCACGGTATAAGGCAATGTTTGGAACATATTTGGATATCCAGAAAGGCATTTATATAGATGACCTTGACGATCGTGAGCTTAGGGGAAGGTGGAAGAGCTTTGTTGGAAAATGGTAAGGAAAATGTCTAGTCAATGCTATGCGGGATACCTTTGATCTCGTTCTTTTCATTATACCGTTACATGCGGGTCCTAATAGCTAACATGACTGAGGAACCGGGGTGAACTTGCAGAAGGATGGTACGACCCAGCAACGCTTAAGAAAGCGCTGGAAGGAGCATATAGTCGCAGTTCTCCTGATACCACCGTCCACGACCCTCGGGGGAGACGAGCTTCCGCTTCGTATAAGGAGGAACAGCAGAACGCTGCTCCCAACGAATATCATCAACAGGGAGAGCAAGACAAGGGGGAAGAAGACGAGGAAGAGGAGGAAGAGTCTTATGGGCCACAAGCGCCATCTTCTCACCGTCAACTGTCGGGCTATCGGCCTGGTCCGAAAATTCCAACTCTAGCGGATCTTACTATCAAACGAGGTTTGTAAACTAGTCCTATAATAAATTTCCGGTCGCTCTCTTAAGTCGTTTCACCCATAACTAATCTCTCCACAGAAGATGAACAATTTGATCTCGAACAAGCCCGTAAAGCCAACAAAGCCATTCGCAAACAAGAACTCAGCTCTCATAAAAGCGAACTCCGCAAGATAGAGGACGAGATTGCACCGCGAGCAGAACCAGGGTCCCGAGAACGGCTTCTGGAAAAGAAACGAGAGAAATCAGCGTCGAATCGCCAGTTCGCCGAGGCTCGTCGCGGTGGTTCACCCGTTGAAGCAGTTGCGGATGCGGATCTTATGGGAGGAGCGGAAGGGGAGGACGGATTTAAGAAACTGAAAGAGAAGCAAATGCGAAAGAAGAATGAGCGGGAGCTAAGGAAAGAGGAAATTTTGAGAGCCAGGGCTGAAGAAAGAGAAATTCGACTTCGGTCATATCGGCGCAAGGAGGACGAGACCATGGACTACCTCCGCGCCATCGCTCAAGAAAGATTTGGATAGTTTATCGGCCTATGATTTGCTCTGGTATGCCACGCATAGGAGCATTCAAAAAGACTACCGTGTTTTAAGTTAAGAACTATAATTCAATCTCATTTCTGATAGCGCTAATTTATAGACCCCCTTTTATGACCCTTCAACTCCTGGCCGCAGCAATGAAATATCTTTTGGGCGATATATATACATGGGCATGTCTATATCCTCGAGTCCCGCCTAGTTCAAATTATAATACGCATGCCAAAGATAAGACAACGAAGCCAAAAGGCCACTAACCTGCGCCGATACTCCATTTCATTCCTCGAGTTTAGTTGTGGGATAGACCCTTTCAGGGCTGAACTCCCGTTCTTTGATAGCTCTCTATTCCTTTCCGGTTTCTGCGACGAGGACGACGAGGACGTGCTGAGCTTCTACTTTGTGCTTTATTCGGGCATAGGGTGTTTGTCGCTTTGGTGCCAACAGTCTGCCAGTCACCGGAGTCCTCATCTTCATCCATACTACTTTCCCTTGCCAGGTTCGAGGGCTCGCTCTTTGATAATCCTCTGCGGAAATTATCCTGTGCGTCACGTTTTGAAACAGCGGTTCCTTCGGCAGCCGTAGCATCGTATCCCTCGTCAAAGCCCAAGGAATTTCCCCTAGCATTCTGGTTCGTAGTGGGATAAAACAGCTTAGCTTCGTCGTGACTCCGTCTAATATTGTCTTTTAAAGTCTGATCGCAACCATTGGTGTTCGTGGTGCGTCCTGTTGCAAATTTTACTTGAAGGTTTTCCTTTTCAGGTCCTGTTTCGATGTGAAAGCTGTCATCCGTTTCTGTTTCGTAAATATCAACAGTTGACTCTGAGAATCCTTTGTCTTCTGGTCGTAGCCTGTTTTGATCACAGTCGCTTAATGGGAATTGGGGCTGATTCACTCCTGGCGCTTTATATGTCTTTGGAATAAATTCAGGTGCATCTGGTTTCCATGACCTCTCCCCGTTCGATGGATACTGATGGCAGGAACAAGTAGTCTCTGAGAATGGCGTGCCACTATCAGATTCACTTGCTTCTAAAAATCCCTGGCGGAAACATAGGCGGTGGTAATATCCGTGATTCTGTAGTAGTTCGGCGTGGGTTCCCTGTTCAACAATCTCGCCATTGTTTATGACAACAATCCTATCTGCGTTGACAATTGTGGAGAGTCGATGTCTAGGAGGTATGTTAGGGCTCGCAAGAACAATGTCAACAACGTAGAGGGTAACTTACGCAATAACAAGTGTGGTTCGGCCTGCGGTGAGTTTTTTCAGACTCTCTTGAACCACTGCCTCTGTTTCACTATCCACACTGCTTGTAGCCTCGTCTAGAAGAACAATTCTGGGGTTCTTCAAAATAGCCTGTGCAATGGCAACACGCTGCAGTTCTCCACCAGATAATCTCATACCCCTTTCGCCAACCAAGGTGTCATACCCATCCGTCAGGCTCATAAATCTGTCATGAAGAGCAACTGCTTTGCAAGCTTCCATTACCTCCTCATCGGTAGCATCCAACTTTCCGTAACGTAGGTTGTTCATAATTGACGCATTGAAAAGTGTTGGATCCTGTGGGACCACGCCAATACCTTCCCGAAGAGTTTCCAGAGAAACACCAGATACATCCTGGCCATCAATCTCCACCATGCCTTGAGTGGGATCATAAAATCTGAATATCAACTTCAGGATTGTTGACTTTCCTCCACCAGTCTGACCAACTAATGCAGTAGTACCGCCTGCTTTGGCTTGAAAGTTGATATTTCGGAGTACTCCTCTCTTTCCATCATATGAAAAATTGACATCAGTAAATTTGATGTTACCAGATTCAAATTTCAGAGGATTTGCATCGGGAGCGTTCTGGACGGTGGGCTGTTGGCGTAAAATTGAGAGGAATTCCTCGACGTCGACCAAGTCACGAGCCATTTCCCCAAACCCATTGGCGATAAATTGTAAAGGGCTGGATAACTGAGCCCAGTAACTCAGTAGCATAACAAAACTTCCAATCGGCTTCTCTCCTGTGGAAACATGATATGCTGCCATAAAACAAGCAGCGGTTAGTCCGCATATCAGCAAGGCCGATTGGGACGCATTCTCCATATGGTCCCAAAATCGAAATTTGAATCGGGCTTTCAGTTGAGCCTGTACCAGTGACAAGTAGCGTGATATCTCATAGGGAACTCGGCTGAAATAAGAAACAGTGCGCCAGTTTTCTGTCGACTCACATAGAGCAGTAAATTCTGCTCCTCGAGCCTCGTTCCACTCTCGTCGCTTATCCTTCTGTTTCGCGACGAGTTTACTAGAGGACCACAGGAAGAGTACCATCACCGTCGCAACATCAAGTGCCATATAGCCATCAAAGACGTAGTAAAGCACGCCAACAGCTAACACGAGATCTATGATCATTGGGGCGACGAGGAAGAGGATGCTGTGGATAACATCCTTTACAGACTGTCCTCGAATGACTGCCGTCCATAACCTTCCTGAGTGTTTATTGTCATGGAAGTCACAAGATAGTGACATAACATGGTTGAATGCTGTTGTACTCAGCTTCAGGTATGAGAAATCATCAACTGGCATACACATAAACCTTCTCAACGCCGGTAACCCTCCACTGGAGTCGAGAAGACGAAGCGCAGCGAAGATTAATATTTGCTCCCAGGGTAACCGTCCACCTAAAAGGATATATGTTAATAAAGTAAGTGTATTTGGTGAATGGGTTTTCTTTTTTTTTTCTCTCTTTGTTACCTTGGGGTTTGCTGAGGATATCAGTTATTAGCCCTAGTTGGATAGGGATCAAAAGGTTGACTGCTCTCTCAGCTATCAGGCAGAGGATCATTCCTCCGAAAAGGAGTTGAAGACGTGGCCTCCCTGAAGGCCAGAAGAACGGCGCAAGCTCCTGTTAAGAATTAGTTGACTATGCATGAAAGGGGAGAATCGCCCGGTTTTACCCGTAAGTCCTTCATAGACGACCAGATGCCTCCTTTTTTCTCATTATCTTCACCATCACCAACATCGACATTGGCCTTGAGGTCCTTCGGCTTGTCTTTTGATGACTGGTTGTTCGATGTGTCCGAGTCACACGACCCATATGCGGCCCCATTTACGCGGGCACCGGTGACACCCGGATCTGCAACAAGTGGCTGCTCATGTGCAAGTAAAGGTGAATTTTCCTCGTCGAGTTTTGTATTCTTGCCTGGAAGGACCCGAGGGCCAAACGCAGCACAAATAAGTAGTGATAGGGTAATGACTCTCAACGTTTGACATAGTATGCTGATAATGTTTGCTCGAGCATAAATAACTCCAGGACATAGCAGCAGGAAAATCTCTGATACGAGATATATGATCCACTGGCCATAGAAAGGGTATGACACCGGCTGTGGCAGTTTGTCCGAGTACAGCAATATTGTTGTAAACCAGAGCAGCCCTGACGACAACTCGAATAGCTGGAAGAACAGTAAGTCTCTTTCGTGTCCTCCCCGACCTTGCAGGAATCTATGATGAAAAAAGAAAAGAAACTTACAATTCGGCCCTTTGGAAAGACAACGCCGTCACCTTCAAAGGTGGAAGATAGCAGGTTTATCGAGTCCGCGATCTGTTCGACGAGGCAAGAGATAGTAAGCAAACTTGATCATGACTATGGATCGACGGCAATCGCAATCCGAAGGATAACAGACAGGACTTACATAAGTCAGAAAGACAGTCGATATCAAAAACCCGATGACCACATTTGAACGACGAGACGGCCTGGCACTATTTTTCTCGCTACCAGGAGGAAAGACGATAGTTATGAAATAGGCACCGAAAAAATAGACAGCTGCCAGTGATGGCAGCGTATCTTGCACAATCTTAGCAAAGTACATTCCGTTCAGCGTTGACGCGCCGCCGTAGCCCTCCATGATGGTGATGGCCTTCGAAGCCCTGAGCTCTAGGTGCAGCAGCCCGCGGGCCGAAAAAAAGATAGAACTACTTTTGCTCTTGGCGTACGGCCAGCGAAGATGAATCCGAAACGGCCCACTTGGGGGTGTGGGATCATGGGCTTGGTGAGGGCCGAAATCCCTCTTCGACAAAACACTTTGCCGACGGGGGAAGGGTCTTTTTCCACCTTCCCTCTGTCTCTTTTTTTTCTCAAGTGCTTTTTTGCCCTTCTCGCAAGCGGTTGCGGAATGATGGTTAAAGCGGTAAGGCCTAGTTCGGGCTAAGGCGACTAAAGCATGCGGCTAAAAGCATGTGTGCGTGTCTATCCCCGGGATGGTGTACTCCATACGGGGATGTGAACGGAAGGGGAGACAGCAAATAACCCCTGGACAACAAAGAGCGGTGATAGAAGGAAAGGAAAAGAAAAGAACAAGCCCGGGGTGAGGCGAAGGGGGAAGAAGAAACGAGGCGGCAAAGGACACGCGCTACAGGGAAGTAAAACCAACACAGGGGGATGCCGACGAGAGGAACAAGGAGGGCGAGGAGAAGAGAAAAGAGGAAGAAAAAGAAGAAGATGTTACATGGAACTCAGGAGTCAATACGGTGTATTGATAGTGAGGTTGTTATGTTGGTTCGCGCGCGGGAAGGAACCAAGTTAATATAACCCGTTAACTTGGTAGGCGCTTTGGGGAGAAGAGAAGGCGTTGTTTCTTTTCTCCCTTAAGAGTGACCAGCCGACGACGCCTCAGGGATGTCTCGAAAGGGCAAACAGAGATGGAGAAGAAGAAGAGCAGGAAAAGATGGGAAGACGGCAGCTTCCGTTTGCCTCTGCTGTATTGCGACTCAAGCCGGGTTATTTTATAACTCCATTAATCCCATGAACAAAAATAGATGCGGCTCGGGTGCCTGGGCAGCGACCCAAGCGCTGGGTCTAGCTGAAGTGTTTCCTTGGTGAAGTTGCATCTTAGATGGAGACGCTCTCGGAGGCATAATAGCGAGTGACCAGAGAGCCTTGTAGATGGGGGTTGAAAGATAAAAAAGAAGTAGGGACCCCCGGCTGGCTGGGTGGCGGCGTAGGAAGAAGAGAGGGAAGGGGAACAAAAGGCCCCAGGAGGTGACCAGCCAGATGCTATCCTCCTCTTCGCCTTTGCTCCTCGCCGCCAGCCAGAGTTGTTTGCGTGCTCGTAAATGATTATCTAGATTGATGATGAGATACTTCGTATATCTCACATGAACACAGCAACACTGGGCCGACACATGCTCCTTTCTCCTGGAACTGCTTGCTTGCACCCGGTGGAGGCCCATCATAGCACAGACGCTAGACTTGATAATATCGATCCAGCTTTAGTGCCAGATAACTAGCTAGCGTGCGCTCCCTCTTCGCGGATCGACCTCTTGACTCCATCGTGCAAGAGTTTGAATAGACTGCCGAAGCCCGTCAGGCAGAGTTCTAGAGCGGAGCAAAGGCCGAGAGAAGAACAACGCTCTCTCAATGTTTTATCCATTGATAGGCGCCTCGATAGACTGTCCAGCCCTTTGAGGCATGTAGGTCGTACCCAATCGGCGATCCCTGAAAAGTTGCTTGGAAGCAAAAAAAAGGAGGACTGACTTGCTTGCCTTGTCTCCAGAGTTGCGCGCCCCCCTTCTCAGGGAAGACAGCCGGGTCCCTTGTCCACCAGTGCGATCAAGAGAAGTAAGGGCGCTATCCCTGTTGTTCGTTATACTTTTTCTCGTTTTTTTTTCCTTTTCTGACCATCAATCCATGTCCCATCCTGTAAATATGGCTTCGTGATCTGTTTGTGTCCATTTTTGCATTTGTAAAATAAAAAGGCAGCACTGTCGGGCGTCGCTTCATGGAAGGGAAAATCGCCACAGACAAGAACATCTGCATTTGAAGGAGCTGCTGCTGGAGCGCAAGCATGTTGATGAAAGGTAAAAGGACACAGTCAGGCCCTCGGGAGGCTTGTCGTCTCGTATTTAGCTGCAAGCTAGCGTGACACAATAGATTGGCTCATGCTTCAGTGTGGGAATAAATTGTGCATGTGTATCAACCCGTGTGGGAGAAGAACAACGCCGACGGGACCAATGCTCAGTCTTATGCATATTCTCCGCGCCTGTCTTTTTGCAGCGGCCAATCGGCAGCCTGAGAGCGGACTTGCCCGGGACGCTGGCAGAGGGCACTTTAAAGAACAAGGCAGTGTGGTTCAAGTGGCGGCAGATAGGGGAGCATCCCGTTTGGCGGACATATATTCATGCCTGCGTATGTACGAAGTACGTAGCTATATTTCAGAGAGCATATACTCATACACACAGACGTGTCCGCTCGATATACTCTGTGGTTGAACCGTCATCATCATCATCATCCAAGAGTCTCCGCTGCAGATCTTCGTGAAAGTTGGATCTTTCGGCTTGATAGTTAGTAACGTCAGTTGATTTGCACACTTAAACATTAGCATGTCAACTAAGAAAAGGGATAGGAAGTAAAATTACCACTGCTGGGGACGATCTGGAGGGCGGTTGGCTTACGCTTCACCACCGAATAATGCATGTACGGAAGTAAACGGTTTTCGCCTCTCTCCAGTTACCAACGCTCATTTCCACCTGGCTGGAACAAAGAGAACCGAGAGGGAGGGTAAGCGAGTGGCTCTCTCGCCGTCAGATGCCAGGAAGCTCGACTCAGACCAAAATACATTTACAAGGATTGAAATTAAACAGGAGCCTTGCCCAACGTTTCTAGCAATCAAATGACTTGCCGGCCGGCACTGCAGTCCGCTTCTTTTTCTTGCTCTTGCTTTCTTTTGCATATCAAATCTTACTGCACATATTTAATAACAACCAATGCCATGATACCCCTGTCTTAATAGGCGACACCAATTCCAAAAGCGATCCAAGCGTTGCAGTTGTGTATTTGCCGTGCTAAGGGATGGTATTGGTTGCCGACGTACGCGGACATGGGCAGACTAGTTAGTTATGGAACAGCTAACCATAAAATATAGTTCCATCGCACGGGGCTGGGGAGCCAACAAACCCTTCCAGAGTGACACATGTTTGTTGGCAGCCGGGAGATAAGGATGCACAATGCATGATGCGATGTATCTAGGAGAAATAGGAGAGCATCATCTTCTAGGATATCGGGAAAGTTCTCCACAGGCAGCCAATGATTGTCGAAACGGGGGAGAGCTGATGACAACAAACGCTTCGAGAAACTCATTTGATTCCCAGGTTGAGGTTGGCCACCAATCGGAATCGAGACTCTGCCTGCTCGTCTGCTGTATTGCCTTTCTCATCCACAGGGAAGAGAAAAGGCTTTACTGCGATCTTGACTACCTCGTCAAACAGCTTCCCGATAACCTCCCCTTTCAGTTCATCTCCCGTCTGCCGAAAGTCGGGAAAGGCGTTTAGTTCGAGTAGCCACGCGCGGCCTGTTTCATCGACTAGGTAGTCGACACCAAATACCTCAAATGCGTTTGGTAGCGGCTGGAAATGAACCATCATACCCCGAGCAGCCGCCTCAAACACTTCACTCGTGACCGCGCAAATCTGGTCATATACGCGATCTTTCCATCCGGCTTCCATCGAAGCATCCTTGTCGTCCAGTTTCCAGAAGCGCTGGACATTCTCGGGAGCTACGCCTTGGCCAGTAGTATCAGATTGAAGGCAGGTATTCGTAAGGTGACGACTGAGGTAGCTGACCTCATCTTCTTCTGCTTTACTCTTCTCCCATGGAAGAATATATGATTTGTCCGCAAAGAGAGCAAGCATCTCTCGATATACATAGACTTTCAAGGCCCCGACAGCCAAAACATAAACCCGAATATGGAACTTTCGATTTGAGGTAGAAGGTAGTAGGAGGGGGCGAAGGATATAGGGCTGTGCAACAAAATGTCGTAGTTGAGAGGTAACCACCCCGGTGTCTGTTTTGTCGTCCGGGTCCCCGTCAGGTTCCTCTCTGATGCTTCCCTCTGAATCTGTGTCTTCGGGTTCCCATTCTTCAAATATATTCTGAAGAGACGATTCACTGTTGAATAAACGAATTCCTTGTGCACGATCACTCATGCTAGGTTTTAATATCCACCACTCCTTTTCGCACTCTTCCTTTCCTTCATTGGCCTCTAGGCTCTCACGTAACTCGTAAGCTTCAAGCAAGGCCTCATCGAGAAACTCCGCATAGTCTAATTCAAAGTCTATTGTAGGTTTAAAATGCTGCCGAAGCACACTGTCGGGGTATTTTGTTATCCAATTGGCAATGGTATTGGAAAGGAAGTGTTTGCGAATCAACGCCTTTCGAATGATGTAAGAGTTTACCAATGAAGTTGACGGATGCGAATGAACATGCTCAAAGTCGGACTTCTCATACACCCTGTACTGCAAAACCGGACTATCAGGGTCAGGTAGCTCGAGCATGGAAGATATCATTCTATAAGGGATGTTTTTGAACTGATTCTGTATAGCCTTCATCACCAGGGGCTGTACATAGGCGTCTTGACAATCCACCAAGGCATAAAATATTGGGGTCTCATCCAACCTGTGTAAAAGAAAACAATCCAGCTCAGTCAGAACACACCTCTAATGGAAATATAGCGATAGCTGTAGCAAAAAGCTAATAACATTATATTGCGTGAAAGTACACAGGGAAGTTGGAGAATTGATAAGCTGGAGAATAGATAGGTGCTATTTGATATCATCAAGCACGTCAAAATTTCAACACATCACTCACAGCGTTATTTCACCGGAACAGCCTGGCCAGTGCATGAAATTTGCCTTTAACGGGGTAACGCTGGGAAAAGAGAATAGTGTCAGTGATTTGCTAGCTCTGATCTCTCATAGCAACGGCAAGACAGTACTTCCAACCAAACTTACCTCGTAAACCCAGACCTGACAGCCCAGCCGTCCTTCCCAGGGGGGCTGACCTGCTCACTCTTGAAGACATCGCCAAATTTTGGAGCCCATTTGAAGTGTTTGTGTTGGAGCCTAGTGGAGGAAGAGCCAGAAGGATCTCCATTTGAGTTGCTCCCTTCCTCATTTTGTCTAAGCAGATATTCCTGTAGACCAGGATCCTCACTACTCAGCTCAGCATCAATTGCTTCGAAACAGCTTCCTGACCAACGATTGTCTAAGATATTCGTATACAGAATCTTTGAGGTGCTAACACCTTGTTCCAGGGGAACATTGATGCTGTAAAGGTCAACTCCGTTGGTCCACTTCTTGTGAAGATGCTCTATCAACCGAACCGAATGATTCGCAGCTTCCGATATAATGACTGGGTCATGGTCGCGTGAGCTGAAAGCAAATGATAGTGCAATTGCTTTGTATCCACAAACTGCGGCCTCCATCGCTCCGCCGACGGTACCACTGGAAAGAGAGAAGACTGCAGTGGAATTCCTTCCATAGTTTGGCCCGGAAATCACTAAATCCACAGGTCCACGGTCTTGAAAGAAGTGAAATAGCCCAATTTGAACACAGCTTGCGGGTGTTGAGTCAATGAGAACCCACTCGTCACCCTGGCTGTCTTCTCCTTCTGCACTGCGCGGCAGCGGGTGTATTGTGCCGTCGTCGTGGAAAAGGGTCCCAGGGTGAAAGTATGTCGGTTTGACAGTAGCTCCAACAAGGTGAGCCTTGCCGATCCATGATCTCTGCCTATGCGGTAGGACGACAGACACTACATGACCAGAGGACTGGAGAGCGTGGACAAGGGAATGTATGTAGGGCGAGGATTGAGACGAAGGGGGCCCGTCGTCGTTGACGACCTAATTAACCAGACCAGACGTCAGTTCACCACACCACTAACCCAGATAACCAATGCCCGATAACAGCACTAGGCTTGAGTGCAGGAGGCCGGAAGTGACTTACAAGGATGTGCATCTTGCAGGCTGCAAACCGTAGTTAGAAGGCTGGCGATTTTTGAAATGCCGTTTCTTCTTTTAACGATGGAGATTCACCCCGCGATGTTGCTGTGGGCTGTGGGGCTTTAGGTATTCTTTACACACGCCAAACCCGGCATCATGTTATTGCCGGGCAGTTTTATATGTCGTCATTGTTTACTGATAAATCGTTACAGGGGGCGAGGCAGTGACAAATTATTAAGTGTGAGTAAGGCTACCTCATATGCTATGCATCGCATCTCGCAGCGGTACATGATTTGCTTTCCCGGCGGCTGAGGACTATGGCTAGATTCTGCCCTGCTCGCTTCCTTGATCTTCGTCTCGCCCGTCGTCTTCATTAGAGCCATACGCTGACGGGCCATCCGCTTCCTCAGCCTTAATTTCAGGAGGCAGCCTTTCGGCAGTACTTTCCCGCATAGCCGTGGATTGTTCTGAACCGTTGTTGAACTCCTCATCATCGTCGACATCCTCTTCCTTCTTAATGGCCGTTCCATCCCCCCCTGAAGAGCGAGTTGAAAGTACGAGCCAGACTCCAGTGGCGACCGATGTAGAAACGAGCCAAAACATAGAACCGAAGGTCAGAAACGAAAGCGTTCTCCAGTTATACATGATCCATCTACACATCTGATGTTAGAAACATGTCCCAATACTAAGAGGTATCACAAAACCCCTAAAAGTAAGAAGTATAAACTCAGAGTACACATACCTTAGACCGGTAAACCTTGCATCTATCCTCACACTTGCTCTGTACACTTGAATCCGTTCATTACTTTGAATCTCTAGCCTAAGGCCTTTGGGTACCCCTCGTTTCCCCCTGGGAAACTGAACTCGTTCCATCATTCCAATATTAAGCTCTTCCGCTTCCCGTTTTAGTCCTAGAACATAGAGTGGAAGTCTCCATAACTGGCGAGCTGTATCTACCATTGGGGATGTGTAAGTCAGCATAGCCGGGCGGCGTGACCGTAGCAGCACATTCTCAGATGCATTTGCAATGGATCCAGTTAAATCATCCGGCTCCTGGAGAAAAGCAAGGTCAAGCATGAAATTACCTGCGGCTCGATTGGCAGGGGTAGAAGGGAGATGTAAGATCACTTTGACGTCGTATTTTTGAAGTGGAATCATACGTGACCCCAAAAGTGCAGTACCATATGGAAAGGCCATGCTATAATCCTATTAATTAGGATTCCAGACAAAGATGGAGCTCGGGCATGGACCAAATTATCCATTGTATTGCATCTGGCTTACTCATATTGAAGGTGTATTTGCCGTTCAAGGCTAATCTGGGGCACAAAGTTGTAGTAAAACACCCAGTATGCTATGGTTGATATGCCAAATAGAGCAAAGGTCGCACACGTGAAGAGAAATAAATTTATATACGACCGTTGAGCCGTCTTTGAAGTAGCAGCCTGGATGGGCCGTAGCATAATGGCCTATCTAAATATCAATAACGAGTATAAGAATGAATACCGTGGGCAATGCGTACTGAGACACCTGGTTCTTGTTTGATATTCGCCATTGTATGCGATAAGAGGCTATCCTCATCACAGTTGGTCGCCGAACATTACCGAGTTAAAGATTTAAAAAATCTGTGATCTGGGGCCCTTTACGTATCAGGCTAAAGGGTGCGGATTATATATATATATCGCGCTGGGGATGAGCTGGTCATTGTTGATGTTGATATTTGTTGCTAAACCAGGCAAATGCCTGGACCTACTTGGAAATAGCTTAAATAACTACCATCACGTGCGCATTTAAATAAGCTGGGTCCGGGAGATTCGCCAGGAAAAGATAGGAGACAAGAGGAAAATGACAGTAGATATCCGAGTACGATCCCAGTAGCTGTTTATCACGACTCGATGCAATGATAGCAGTAATATTCCCATATGTTTAAGGAGTGCTCCCGTGTTTATTCCTCTTTTGGATAGCTGACTACTTCCGAATTCCGTCCCTCATGGCTAAAATCAACAAACATCAAGAGACACACAGAAAGAGTAGAAAGATTAAAACTGAATAGATAGTAAACAGAAGCAAAACAACGAACACCTATTTTTTTAAATTACATAGGACCACGACGAATAAACAGCCCCCAGATCATGCATGCATGCCGTCCAAAAACAAAGCAAGGAACCATGAAACCCATCCGAGCGGTATCTAAAGAAAAGTGTAAAGAGGAAGAGGAAGGTACATATGCGCATGTGAAGGCTTGAAAATATTAAGATAAGCGTATGGAGTTGGGGTACGTTTGTTCATCGTCACAGTCATCATCAAGGTCACTGCCAGTGACTAGTTCCAAGGAGGAACCTGCCGTATGGATATCGTCTCATATACTATGTTTTTCACACCTTCAACTATTTGCTAGAAGAATTTAACTTAGAGTGCGGGGGCTTTGCTGTTGAATGTGCTGCAGAAGCGCATCAAACAGACGACCAATCTAGAAGACGACATGTTAGAATCACACTTTATGATCTTGAAAGTTATTAAAGGATCTCCATACCTCAGGCGCCGCTTGAATAAAAGGCAAGCGGAAGAACGAGTAGTTGCCATTCTGCAACAACTCTTGGAGTGTAATGATAAGACCCCAAGGGTGAGGTCGGTGGACAATCAATCGCTCAAGCAATACACGGATGATTTGCTCGCGAATATGAGTTTCATGTTGAGCTGCGATTTCTGACCCAAAAATGTGGAGGATGGCGAAACTGAAGAAATGGGTGTGGCTGTTCGGGTATCGTAGTTGGTTTACAATAGCGCTAAGGAGGTAATATCGTGCCTCCGGGCGTAGTGTATTCACCAATTTCTCTAGAAATCCAAGAGCGGGCGAGTTGTTGAAAGAAGCGGCACCAGGCTTCTGAGCTGAAGAAGAAACTGCGCTCTGGCCAATGTATAGAACAAGAGCCTCCAAAAGAACTGTATTAACGTTGATTGGATTGAAGAATAGCCCAGTGTCTCTTGCTGGAGGGTTATAAATGGCATCGGATATTTGTTGAATAGCAGCATCGGCAGTGTTAAAATTCCGCAGGGCATTGTCCACAGGTGTTATGATCATTGCATCTTGAAGTGGCGTGGAAATGTCGGCGGTGATTTTTGGGGCCTTGCTCATCTCCTCCAACCGATCAATCTTCAGGCCGTCACGGAAGGGATCCGGCAGTTTTTGGAACGACGATGGATATGCGCTCAACACGAGGTTTCGAAGCTGGCTACAGTGGGTGGGTATAACAGTGCAGAATTGGAAATGATTCTCGGCAACAAACTCTGGGAAGTCGTGGTGCAATATCAAAAGAATTCGAAGCACTCCTTTGTAGATGTCCTTGGCCACATAGGTCACAGATGCGGATTTAAGCTGTTCACCGATGTATGATAGCAGTACTTGCATTATTTCACAGAAAGGTTCCCAGCCCTATAAATACAATTAGTAAAACCATTAAAACTATGAGCAGTGAAAGGTATAGACTTACCATCTGATCATCCAAGGTAAGCATCTCAGCCATAAACACGCGATGAGAGATTAACGATAGCCATCCATAGATGAAACCTGGTACATGTTTAGGCTGGAGTGACAAGAACTTGTCTGCAAACGCTAGCATCATGCCATTGTGCTGGTCTGTTTGTGCAAGGCCACTGGCGGCATACTCGCAAAGAATGCTTGAGAAGAGTCTGAAAAATACTCGCTGATTGAAGCTATCGCCTCGCATGACTTGATGGTGGTTAAGTACCAAGACCAGCAGAGAGAGGATGGAATTCAAGTAGGCAGACTTGCTAGCCTTTACGGCACCATCAGCGTCGCCTTGGAATTTCACCAACAATATAACCAGCTTGGCGAGAGCGTCGATATACAAGAATGCCTCGTCGATGTTTCCACTGACGTTCTGATACTCGTGCTCGAACATGGCGACAGATATATCAATGCTGAGCCTGAAGAACAGGGCCGAATCCTCCTGTGTGTTCATGACCTGTCGGTGATGCATGTCCTTCAGAAAAGCGCTATACATTCTTTCATTGGATCCAGGGAACTTGTATACGCCAATCCATTCACTGAAGATATACTCCATCTGGTCTCTCTTCGATCGAGCTAAGTCGCTCAAAAGAGTGTTGGCTGATTCTGGAATACCCGACTCTCGAAGGGTCTGAATGATCTCACGAGCAAGGGGAAGCTCAGGTTCTTCGACAACCCATTGGTTCAATGCATCCAAACTTCCGGAGAAGTCAGATCGTAGTGCTGAAGGCTCATCATTCAGTAGGACGCGGTTCATTAGTGCTGATAGTAGCTCCAGTGCGGTATGACTTTTGTCCTTGATGAGTTTGGCAAGATTCATATCAATTCGGTGAAGATCCATCAGTCCAGCGTCGATAAGAGCAACAGTAACTGGGACATTAAACATTTGCCCATCATCAACCTCAGCGAGAACTGCCCATACATATCTTGCCACAAGTGACGAGAGTTCACATATCTTGGTCAACAAATGAACGAGAACTTCTATCTCAAGGGTCTTCTCGGTTTGAGTGTAAAGAGCATTGCATATTTTCATAGCTGCCAATCTTGCCAAATCTTCGCCATTCTGCGATGAGAGAATAGCTCGGAGGACTTGATTGTACGAATGCAAGATAGGGCTATCCCTTGCAATGTCTTTGATATGTTCATCCTTTTCGGATCGGGTGGTGTGCTGAAGGTCAACGACAAGCCCGTCAATTTTCTCGCGAGGAGTAGACGCTTCTAAAAAGCCATTTATCTGTGGCTGGGTGCCAGAAAGCGCCTGTTGCTGAACATCCGCGTCCTGCGGCCCTCTACTAGCAGGGTGGGGGATTGCAGATTGGTCTGCTGGGGTGCTCAAGTTAGGCATGCCTGGGAAAGCTTCTTGAAGAACGTCTGGGATTTGTTTGCCCGAGTCTGTTGACGCATGCTGGATATGTGTTGGACCTGTTCCACGCGACTGGCGAGCGAACTCTTCGTATATGGCTAGCTGTTCTTTGTTTAATCCTCCAGGAACCTGTCTGTATGGTTCCGGAATAAACAATGCCCACCGGCTCATGGAGGGATCAATGAATGCTTCATTGGGTCGCGCGATACGATGGCGTCTACGGGCCTCAAGTTGTGATTCAATAACTTTCTCGATTTCCGGAAGAGATTTTTCCTCAGCGGCCTTTTCAACGATACCGCAAGCAGCATCTAAGTTATCGTTCACACACATAAGGATAAGGCCTTCTGGCATTGGTTGATCCGAGTATTCTTGCTGAATCATACGAATGTAGTTCGTCATGCTCATTTTCAGGGGTTCCTTGCAGGTAACTAGAGCAAGACTACCGGCAAGAGCACGAACCATAGTGCCTGCTGCCTGGCGAACCTTTTCCTCATCTGGTTCCATAGCAAAGTCCTTCAAAATCAACTGAGCGGCTGAGATGGACGCAATGGTGATCGAGCGCTCAACGACTGGTGCAATAATTTCAGCAATTGCACGTTCAACAGCACCATGAACAATTTGTTTTAGAGTATTGGGATCAGCGGATGGTGGGAAAACCAAGATTTGGTCGAGCTTAGGAAGGCTTGAAATAATGGAAGAGGGAGAGATCCGTTCAGTTCGAATGCCACGGCTCATACCGGCGAGTGACATATCATCAAATGCCTCCAATCCCTCCGGAAGGCAAGCGACAGGTAATCCTTCATGGAGCTGGGCTGGGCGTTCTCTAATACAGGTCGAGGGCTCGATTGTCTTGTGGTCAAGCTCCAAATCTCCACAGAGGACCTCAATTTCGAACTTAAGGATCATCTTTAATTCGGCAAAGTGGTAGATTTCGATCAATAGAGCGATAATGTCCATTAACCAGGGGTTAGGGGGCCTGAAAATTGATGACTTCATGGCTTGGCTCAGGACCTTGCAGGTAAACGGAATGGCGACAGTAAGACGTTGGCTATCGAATGCTTCGATAAGCAACTCCTTGAAGTAAATATTCTTGTGCTTGATGGGTTTATCTTTTGCAATCGTCAGGGACCCTAACCAGCCACCAAGATTCTTTAGGTGGGTACGGTCAATTGTTGAATTCATTGTCGACTCAGCATTAAGCAGCCTGATGGAGCTGACGTAGGTTTCCCTAAGTACCTCTGCCCATAACGTCTTGTCATCAATAAGTTCCAAAAGGTCCAGGTACAGCTGTTGGAAATTTGGTTGTAGTTTTGCTCGTTCCTCAACTAGGTACGAGGCGAACCATTGATGATGCTCATCCTTTAAGCTTTCGCGAAGGTCTTGAAGTTTCGACTTGATATTTTGTTCTGAAACATTGTTGAGGATGAAAAGGATCTTATCGTGGGTGTCTTCATCTGGCTCTTTATAGATATCTGGCCGAAGCGGAGGTCCTACATGTAGAGACTGGAATTTATGAGGTGAACCTTCGTTGACGAGCTCATTGACATTGCCGTTAGCAAGGGACAGCCCATCAGCCACACCGTTAACTTCAGCTCCATCAACACCATTGATTGGGTGGTGGCCCTGTTCACGGAGGACTTCCTCGGCTTTGCGGTGGATATTCGATCCCTGAAGGCTTGGGATCTGAAGAAGAAGGCTGCAGAATCCAACCCATTCAGGCAAACGGCTGATTAACTGTTCGATGGCTTCAACACCGAATTTGTAAAGGGATTCATGAGGTTCGTGTTCGCGTACAGCATCCAAGATCATCCCAAGACCAACTTTTAAGGGTATGCCCGAGATAAGCTTGAAGTTGATGATACCTCCAAACATCACAGCAGTCTTTGTGAGAGCCTCAAGCGGATATTCATGGTAACAATGGTACTCATCGATGAGACCATGAACCATGCAAGTGAAAAGATCTTGTTCTGCAGGCTCACGGGAGGATTTGTATCGTCTCATAAGCTCAAGGATTTCTCGGAGCGAGAGCTCTTCATGATACATCTTCCCAAAGAGATCACGCATCTTCTTGTCTACATCCTCAGGAATAGCATTTCCTCGGACACTGTTAGCCTCAATAACATCGTCAAACCCCTCGCCATAGTTGATGAGTCTGGGATAAGTTTGAAGGCAGATCCGTTGAATAGGCGTAAGGTTCTCATGGTCAGTTATGTAGTCTTCCAGAATCATCAAGAGCGCAAATACAGTCTTAACAGATAGGCTGACCATTTGTGGCGTTGGTTGTTCCCCTCGCTGTACTCGCAACTCATCTTCGGCTTTAATTCTGAGGAATTTGGCCAGTAATCCGCCCATATCAACAGGAGTTTTGCCAGCTGTCCCCTTCACCCACTGCTCTAGATCAAACGAACCTTTCTGGTGGGCAAGAGAGGCAAGATCCATAGCAAGTCCGTTCGTGAAATCCAGTAAATAATCAAGCCAACCGTGCTCAACAGCGTGCTCATAAATGAGATCGGTACAAGATGGATCTTGGGTGAAAGCATGGAACAATTGCTCTCCCACCCATTGCTGATTAAGCTTCCAAACTCCGTGAAGAGCAAACTGGTATCCATCCTGACGCTTCAAAATGAATATCATGAACGACCTGACGAGGAAATTATGCTGAACGTTGGTCCACGGCTGGGGAATGACAAACGCAGAACAGAGGAAAGTAGGGAGATCATGTTGGAGGATAGTTTTGACAAAGTTTTGACTCTCTGGAAGGGCCCAAGTTGCAGGCGAGACAAGTATTAGGTCAAAAATCGCTTTTGTAGCATCAAGGGAGCGGAGAGGGTTGTTCTTGGTTTGTTCAGCTTGAAGTTTGACGGTTTCGGACGCATCGTCAAAGATATCAGGATTGAAGGCGGAGCGGAAGTTAGGTATTTGGGAGGTATCGATGCCAGGTGTATCAATTCCAGCAGAGAGGAAGGCGGTCAAAAAGGAGAACTGAGCATTCTTATGAGCCCAGTCACCCCCCCAAAGCATCTGAAGGTCTAGTGAATTCTCCTCCTGGGCAACAGGGAGCAGCGCATTGAATAGTCTTGAGAACTGGGAGTTGTCAACGCGAAGACCATCTTTGTCAAACTGCCGTACAGCATCGGGCCAGTTTATCGGCTGAGAAGCATGTTGCTTTAGAAGAGTTGAGACTAAAAGGTCGAGTGGATATTGTTGCCAGGATTGAGAAAGTACAATGAAGAGAATTGCATTGCCAATCTGTTCCCCGCTAAATGTGTCCGAACCGGCGGCTTTGATAGTGTCAAGCATGGTATCTGGATCTCCTAGTGATTGAGGGCCACGAGCCTGGATTTGGCGCACAAGCGAGAGTCGAGGATCTGTGAGGGAAAACATCTGCAAAGCCGAATCTACCTCGATTGGGACCTCAGAATCGGCATTTTGGTAGCGTATGCGAACGTCATAAACCAATTTCCTCTTCATATCATCGTTAAAATTACGAGGCGGATTAAAAATAAGTCGTTCTATGGTAAGAGCAATAAAGGATGGCGTTGAGTCTTTATTGGAATCTGAGATAGTGGAGAGGCTTTGGAGGAACTGAGGGAGCGATGCCGATAGTATTGCGTCGGCTATAAAGAGTTAGTATGCTGAAAGTTAACTAATGACGATGTTATTAGGATTATCCTACCTTTGGTACGAAGATCAGACTTGGTGACATTTTTAAATGCGAGAGTGAGAGCGGTTTTAAGTATGGGGTCAAGTTTAAAATGGTCAAGGAAGGTAGAGAGATCAAAGTCTCTGAATATGTCACCTTCTGAGGTATCGATAGTCTCCGCTATCTTTCGACCCTGGTCAGGGTCAAGAGCCACCTTCTGAACCTCCTGAACCAGTAAAGGGTAGTTTCCGGAATTGTCAACACTTTTGTTGGTTCCAGAAAATATCTGGCCAGCATTGCTTGACAGCAGACGGCGAAAGTACTTTGAAAACACTTCCATACCGTTGGAGTTTACAAGCTAAATAAGTAACAAGTCAGTCATTGATTCGTGTAATAAAAAATGGAATGAATGGTTTCAAGTGATGAATATCTAACCCTGTGAATCTGTGCAGCTTTGGTTTCCCACTTCTCCTTCCCTTCTTTCTCGTTGATCGAGTCAAGCAGAAGGAAAACTTGAACGACTGATATCTTAGAGAGTGATGATTGACTCGAGCTAGCGCCACCCGTTGACGACACGATCGCAGAAGACGGTTTATCAGATGGAAACCCAGTAGGAGACCCGACCGCGTTGCCGGTCAACAGAGGAGAGAACGTGGCGCCCCTTGACACGGCAGTACCACCACCTCCGCCTCCTCCACCCCCACCACTACCTCCTCCTCCTGGTGCGGAAGCCGTTGGGGTCGCCAGGTGCGAGACTGCTGAAGGGGGAAGTGGTGTAGTAGATTTTGGGGATGTAATTGATTGTTGTTGTGGTTGTTGTTGCTGTGAAGAGTGCTGTGCGCCAGCTTGGTAAGGAGAAGCGAAGGGGGAAGGAGTTGGAGCTGGCGAAGCGTTACTACGTGCAGCTGGGAGTCGAGAGGCCGAGCTCAGGATGGCGGAGAAGGTCGAGGTCAATGGAGACGTGGCAGGCCCGAGAGCAGGCGTTGGGTTGCTAGTGTGGGATGGCGATGCAACTGAGCCTGCGGCGGGCGTCCGGCGAGACGGAGATGATGTGCCGGTTGAAGAAGATAGGTTAGCTGTCGCAAGGGTGAGAGGGCGACGGACAGAGGCTTGAGACGAAGGAACGCCCCAGGCTGACGGCTGTAGTCTCGAAGATCGAGCAGTAGAGGGCTGATCGGAGCCGGAAGCAATCGAAGATTGGGCGGAGTGAGAAGGGGAAGGGAAGGTCATCTAGGAGACGCGATCATTTGATCTGATCGTGATTGGACGTTTGACAGTGAACAGGGCAAGAGAGAGGGAGGCAGAGGGATAAATAAGTAAATAAAATATAAGATAGAAGCGCAGTGCAACGGGTTGATTGGCAACTGTGGTTTGCTGCAGGGTGACCTCAGACAAGCGAACCTCTCTCGTAACGGCGGGCGTGTGTTTGATAGTCGATGGCGTCAAACAAGAGATGCAAAACTGCAGTGCCGCGATCCTGTTGATTGAGGAAAGCAGATCAGACCGTCTAAGTCTCGTTTCTTTGCTCGCGAAGAAGTCCTGGTGTCGGCTGTGAGAGTCTTGCGTGTTTTTGGTCTTCGTGAAGTTGCAAGTTGAAGTTGAAGTTCGAAAGTTGAGGTTGAAGAAAGAAGAAAAAGGCGGACACAAGAGGCAGAAAAAAAGGGTGCGGTGGGTGAAAAGAGCCACTTGCGCACTCTGCTTATATAAACATCACGTGACATGTTGCTCCGGGCAACCGAAACGGGTAAACACAACGACTTGCACAAGCTCGAGGCGCTGGCTCTCTCTCTCTTTTTACTTACTGTTCATGACTCTCATCACCTCCCACATACTCTCCCCCTGATAACTACCACTCACTTTTTGTTACGATTTACGATTTTCTTTTGCTTTTCTTTACTTGCTACGACAACGATATCTACAAAGAGTATAACAAAAAAATCACAAAAAGAAGCTCAAAGGATATAGACCTTGGAAACCCCCGAAGTTACCTGCGACATATCTACATCTGGAACGATGCCGGCAGCAGTGGCGGATGCTCCTTCTATTTCCTTATCATGTAAGTTGATACTTCTACAATCGCAACCTTGTCCTTGGAGCTTCGGCTGATTACCGTTCTAGTTGCGAATAACTTCTGGGGCAAAGATGACGCTGGCGTCCTGCCTATGCTCGAACGCATGCACAATGCAAAGTTAACGTGCGACGAACTGCGGTCATTCTACAGCAGTGAGTTACTCAGCTGGAAGAGAGGCGGACTGGTGGATTAGAAGGTTGCTGATATGCTTGCATAGCACGAGCCGCGATCGAGGATGAGTACGCTAGGAAGCTCCTGGCGCTCTGCCGCAAACCCCTTGGAGCACACGAGTCAGGGACACTTCGGTCGTCATTGGATACCGTCAGAGGAGAGACAGAGATAATAGGCAAGACACACTCTGCGATTGCATCTCAGATGAAGACCGAGCTGGAAGAACCACTGGCCGCATTCGCCGGTGGAATGAAGGAGAGGAGGAAGATTGTACAGAATGGCATTGAGAAGCTTTTAAAGATTAAGATGCAGCAAACACACGCGGTGAACAAGGTATGCCCCTTAGAAACACCCAGCCATGTTGCTTGATGCTAATCTATATCCTAGTCACGAGATAGATATGAACAGGACTGTTTGCGGATTAAAGGATACCTCGCCCAAGGCCATATGGTCATGGGACAGGAAGAGCGTAAGAATAAGGCAAAACTTGAGAAAACCCAAATTCAATTAGCCTCAAACAGTAGCGAATATGAAGCTGCGATTAAGGTATTAGAGGACACTACTGGTCGGTGGAATAAAGAGTGGAAGGCTGCATGTGACGTAAGTAATACTTACCACAGCTCTTGTTTGGAAGAGTGATATTAACCGCTGACTACTGTCTTAGAAATTCCAAGACCTTGAGGAGGAGAGACTGGATTTTTCAAAGAGCAGTTTGTGGAATTATGCCAACATCGCATCAACCGCATGCGTTAGTGATGATGCTGTAAGTGATGAATGAAGAATAAACACTGATCAGAACCTAACATATTTTCCAGTCCTGCGAAAAGATTCGAGTCTCGCTTGAGGATTGCGAGGTTGAGAAGGATATTGCTTCCTTTATTAAGGAGAAGTCCACTGGACAGGAGATTCCTGATGCCCCTAAGTATATCAACTTTTGCAGGGGTGATCTGAACGACACAGCCTCCGAGACATCAGAGGAGGAAAACTACTCTGTTGCCCAGTTCCAGCGCACTATCAATCCAGCATATAGAAGCTCCTCACCCCAGCCTTCTACCTACGAATCTCACCATGACCCCGATTCGGAGCTAGCCCATCATATGATTCCATCTGCTCACCCTGCTCAGTCAAACCGTGAAAACATTGCAACTCCTCAGAAGAAGCTCTCTGCTCCGCCTCCAGTTGTTGCGCCCCTTGCATCAGAACCAAGGAGAAAACAGCATGTCCCTCCTAACTACCAACCAAGCCAGCATGGTGACATACCCGTCAGTATTCCGCATAATGAATATCCAGCCGATGGTATGACGATGTTCTGCCGCCCTGGGCCACCATCAGAAAGGAGTTCTGCTACCCCATCAGGTAGAGACTCACAAAGCGACCTCTCTAATCCCACGTCCTTCTCGAGTATGGATCCGCCGAGTAACTATCAATCACCAATTAAGTACACGCCTGTTAGTACACAGCCTGCTACCGCTCCCGTGCCCGCTCCTAGGGTTGCACAAACCAAAGCTCCGGCCCCTGCTCCGGCCCCTGCTCCTGCTACAGCCCCTGCTCCCGCTCCCGTCCCAGCTCCCGCCCCTGCCCCTACACAGACTCAGGTACCCGCCACTGCGACATCAGCCAAAGAGGTCCAGAAGAAACGGAGTGGTTTCTTTAGCAATAGCCCCTTCCGCAGAAAGAGCAAACATGAAAAGGATCGTCGAACGCAGTCTGTTGCTCCCGCACCAGCACAGAATCGCAGAACCTGGGCTGCACCCCCTAAACAGACAAGAGCCCTCATGGGAACCCAATCTGACTTGGGTTCGAACCGTCGTGGGCCCAGCCCGGAGCCTGTAGATCCTCGAGCAAATTTCCAACTTAACGTTGGAAATAATGTGTTTGATGTTGCATCCCCTGATACTGCTGGTAAAGCCAAACCTACTAAC